TCAGCTCTTGAACTAACTAGAATATGTAGTTTTTCATTGTGACATCAACTTGGAGGTTTTGGAACTAATTCAGATCTTGCTTTTGACACTCAAGTTTGATATTAATAGTCATTGCTCATTTGCAAGCTTAGATTCAGTTGCGTGGCATCCAGTGAATCTTGTTCGAGTATATTTATAAAAATAGTAAGCAGTTTTATCTGAACTTGAGAATTTTAGCAGATGACAGTACTTTGAATTGACAAATCAATATTCTTAGTTCTTTAAAATACCAATCTTACAGTGTTTGTACATAATTCTATACTAGAATATGAAAGCAGAGAAAAAAGCCACATTTTTGAGATCAGTAATTCAGTGTTAAGATGAATATTACTCACTTTTGCCTGCAATACATTAATACTGTGGCTCTTTCTAATTTGCAAATGAGTTGCAATATTAACAAAAGTAGGACAAGTTATTTAAATATCCAACATTCATTATCACATTTCAGATTTACGGGTGCATTTGGTAGATTAGAAGAGGTTCTACTGAAAAGACAGCAGCATAAGTCAATTAGAACAATTTAGCTACGATGGATGAACCCAGCTGATCAAGAATGTCACCTTCTGTGCCAAAGTGTTGTATTGAACACAGCAGATATATTGAAGTTACCATACTGTTGTTTGCAAGGCTAGCTTTATGTCAGGTGACAGTAGCAGATACTATAAACTGCATATGGGGCAACGTTATCCTTAACAAAAGTACTTGCACACATTGTGGAGAGCCTCAAAATTACTCCACAATGAACAAGCACAATAAAATCTCTAAAAATAGATCGATATTGGTGCTATTTTAAAGAACAGCAGTGTATGAAACCAGATCAAGTTACCAATCTAGGTAAAACGGACAGAAAGGAAACTGTAATGAATATATCACATTCACCATCTTCCGAATGACAAAATATAGTAGTGCTGGGACTAGAGACTTTCATTATAAAAGTGGATTTCTTTTATTATAAAAGAGGGTTGTCTGTCATTTCATTTGTAAAAATTGGAAATTCAAGTTAGAGTATTCAAAAACAAAATTATTGAAAGTATTATGATGTATTGCAACTTATGGAGCAAGAAATATTGGTCAGTCTAAACCCAATAAGGGGACAACAATTCTAGCAGAAGGCTAATTAAAAGAAAATATGTTTTAAGCCATAAACAAGGATTAAATTTAATTAACGTATTCAAATCAAACATGACAGTGATGAAGATCAATAAATATTCATTCATGTGCTTCGGGCTCCACCGTCATCTAAAACAAAGGGAAAAAAATTAATATTGTTGATAGTTTTCAAATTAATAATACTCATTACAGCCCCAAACTCTTTCCATTTAAACCACAGAATGCTTTTACACTAATAAGACTATAGTTAATAGCATGATTCAGCAGATAGAGTGTTCACCTAGCATATGATGGCTCAAAATCATGCAGAGTAAACAGATGTTAGAGAGAATAAAAACTGAAAGAACTGTGGATGCTGTAAATTAAGAACAAAATCAGAGTTAATGTTTTGGGTCCGGTGACCCTTCCTCAGAACTTTCCCAAGTTCTGAGGAAGGGTCACTGGACCCAAAACGTTAACTCTGATTTTCTCTACACAGATGCTGCCAGACCTGCTGAGCTTTTCCAGCAACTTCAGATGTTGGAGAGAATTTGTTTTTTGCTATACATTTTACCAAAACGAAATTAAGAATGGAGCCTAAAATATCACACCATGACTGTTTCCTTTGAATTTTCTCACATCCCTTTAATTTGCATCTCTGATATTTAACTTCAGTCTGTGATTCTACTCTAGATAAGGGTATGAAGCAGGTGCACAATTCTTCCAGAGTGTAAATATATCAAAGGTAGAAACTGAAAACAAATTACTCCTTACTATAAGTAGCTGTGATAAAAAGGCAAAGAAAAAATTTCATTTGCAAAATTTCCATTTTAAAAACAAAACATTCTGGATCATAAGTCCATAAGATATAGGTGCAAAATGAGGCCACTCATTCAATCGAGTCTGATCCACCATTTGATCGTGGTTGATATGTTTCTCAACACCATTCTCCAGCCTTCTCCCCATAATCCTCAATGCCCTTACCAAGCAAAAACCTATTACTGCCTTAAAATACACTCAATGACTTTACCGCAAAAGGCTGTAGCAGCCATGAGTTAGACAGATTCACCATCCTCTGGCTGAAGAATTCCTCATCTCAGTTCTGAAGGGTTGTCCTTTCACTCTGAGGCTGTGCCCTCGGGGCCTAGTCTCTCCTACTCATGGAAACATCTTCACCACATCCATTCCATCCGCAACTCTGTATTCTGTAAGTTTCAATCAATTCCGCCCTGCCTTCCTGCAAACCTTCTAAACTCCATTGAGTACAGGCCCAGAGTCCTCACATAACGAGCCCTTTATTCCTGGGAGCATTCTTGTAAATCTTTGCTGGAACAGCTGCAACACCAGCACATCCTTCCTTAGATACGGGACCCAAAATTGCTCACAATATTCTAAATGCTGTCTGACCAGAGCCTGATACAGCCTCAGATGTATATCTCCACTCTTAGATTCTAGCCCTCTTGAAATTAATGTGAACATTGCATTTGCCTTCCTAACTGCCAAATGAATCTGCATGTTAACCTTAAGTCCTTTGTGCTTCAGATTTATGAAGCCTTTCCCAGTTTAGAAAATAGTCTATTTCTCTATTCTTCATACGAAAAAGTGTACAACCTCATTTTCCCACATGATTTTCCTCCTGTGACATCTTTGCCCACTCTCCAAGCCTGTCCAAATCCATATGCAGTCTACCTCCTTTCTCAACACTACCTGTCCCTCCATCTATGTTTGCGTCATCTCTTAACTTAGCAACAACGCCCTCAGTTACTTTGTCCAGATCGTTAACGTGTAATGTGAATAGTTCTGGTCCCAACACGGACCCCTGCAGAACTCCACTAATCACTGGCAACCATGCTGAAAAAGACCCCTTTATCCCTACTCTCTGCGTTCTGCCAGTGAGCCAATTTTCTACCCATGTCAGTACCTTGTTCTGAATGCCATGTGTTCTCATCTTATTTAGCAGCCTCCTGTGAGACACCTTGTCAAAGGCCTTCTGGAAATCCAAATAGATCACATATACTGGCTGTCCTTTGTCTAACTTGGTTGTTATTTCCTCAAAGAATTCTGAGAACCACACAAGATTCTACCTGAATGATAATTTTGTAACTGTTTCTCCCTAAAGCATCTTTACATGTCGCACATCAGGACTTTGGTTTATGTAATTAGTTAAACTGTAACCTATCAGGAGGTTAGAATAAATCCAATATTGCCTGGAACACCACTGAGCAATTAAACTACAAAACGCAGGCAAGTTCTTGCAAAAATCTAATTCACCTCTTACCTGGTTCTTTTAGAGTGTCCGAGTTGCCTGCAAGCTCTTGTGCTCCATCTGCATTCAGCAGAACACAAGCTAAATTGTTATGCTGCTCTTCTTCAGAAATTCTCCTAACCAATTCATCCTGTGGATATTTGAAAACAAATTATGGAGCATGTTTTTAAGTTAATGCCCATTAATATCTCTAGTCAGTTATCTCAGGTCTCAAAGTTCAATTTCTAAATTTATGGGCACCAACAAATTGGGAATGTAGTCAATTTAGGGATGGATTGTGCCTAAATAAAAGGCAACATTAATAACATAATGCAGAACAGACATAACATATGAACTTCAATATAGCTAAGTGTGACGCAGTTCATTTTGTCCAAAAGAATAAAATTGCTGTATTCTGTTCGAAAAGAAGTGCTCAAATGGGGTAGAGGGTCAGAGGGATTTAAGGATACTGTAAAATCCTCAATTAAAGTTGCAATTCTCACAAATGCAAACATAATTTTATGTGAAACACCACTCACACTAACCAGTGTTAAAATTGGAGTTACATTCCTTTGGACTGTGCTTGGAAAATAATGTACAGATTGAGAAACTGTACCATACATATTTAGAAATGGAGACACTACTAAATCTAAGAGAAACTGAGCAGTTAGTAGGTAGTTAAGGATCTTTCTCTGTATGAAAAAAAACTTTAAAAAGATTAGGCTGAGATGGTTTACATTTCTGAAACTAAAATTGAAACAAAATGACCTTCAAAATAAGATGTTAAAAATATATAAAAGTACCGTAAATACATTTAACTTTAACTGAGTATGATTATTAACTGCACAAGTTTCATTTAGTGGCAGAACTGGTTATTGTGGGCAACACTATCTGCACTGACCAACTTCTGTCACTAGGTATATCACAGGAATTCAGTGCAAGCTCCAAATGAAAGCCACGAGAAAAGTAGACAGTGTATATTTTAATGAAAACAGCAGACACAGACTGGCGATGGAAACTGGAATGGTGAAGAGGGATTGAAAGCAGGGGCATGAACCAGTGGAAGGCAAAGGCACTTCAGGACTCAATATGGGGCGGAAGCATGGGGAAAATGTCTCGAGAGCATGCAGACCTTACAACTGGAAGTTTGCTACAAATATTAAACTGATACTTTCAAAGTTAATTGAGAATATTGTCACTATTTTACAAACAACATTAAATCAAGACAATCTTTTTTATTCACTCATGGGACATGGGCATTGCTGGCTGAGCCAACATTTATTGCCTGCCCTAGTTGCCCTTGAGAAGGCGGTGGTAAACTGTTGTAGTCCATGGGCTGTAGGTGGTGATAAACTGCTGCAGTCCATGTGCTGTAGGTAGACTCAATGTTGTTAAGAGGGGAATTCCAAGATTCTGGCCCTTTAACTTAGTCAACTTTAAATAGGTCCTTGCTGAACAGATAAATCAATCATTAAAAGTGCAAAGTTAATGAAGGCAAAAACACTGAGATTCATATTGAGGGTGATAGAATAAGTTAACCTTATGGACAGTGCTGCTGAAAATACAGACAAATGTTGTCAAAACTTGCATTCATCAGGACAATTCGCAAGAATATAATAAAGGGGAAAGCCAACATGTCTACTGAAGGAGAGGTACTGCTGTTTGGTTGGCAAAGTATTGCCAAGGAGAATGCAGCAGTTAATGACTATTGACTGTTAACTGCCAGGTTTTGTTTAATTTTAAACCAGGCATGTTGACTTAGTTCAGTCAGGGCAGTGACTTCAGCAATTAACTGGCAAATAGCTGCTACCTAGTTTGTTGAGATGAAGCAGGCGCAGTGCATACACGTTCTTATGACTGTATTTAAAAGGACCTGTGTATTGATAGATGTGGTTTGCAGTACATATTAATATGAAAATTGGTAGGGTGGTAAATAGCAAGGAAGATTGCTGTAAACTGCAGGAGGATATCAACGCACTGGTCAGGGGGGCAGAGCATCAGCACATGAAGTTTAACTTGGAAAAGTGAGATAATGCACTTGTGAAGGGCTAACAAGTCAAGGGATCATTGTATAAATGGTAGGAGCCTGGAAAGTATTGAAGATCAGAGGGGATTTGATGTGCATACCCACCGATACCTGAAGGTAGCAGAGCAGTAGATAATGTTGTTAAGGTGGCATATGGGAGACTTGTCTTTAATAGCAGAGGCATTGAATGAAGGAGCTAGGAGATTACGTTGGAATAAATCACAAAATAGACTGGTTAAGCTACAACTGAAGTACGTCAGCATTTCTGGCCACCACATTATAAGAAAGGATGTGACTGCACTAGACAGGGCACACAGAAGATTTATCAGGATGCTATCTGTGCTGCAGGATCTGAATTATGAGCAAAGATTGAATAAGATGGCATTTTTTTCCTTGGAGCATTGAAGTGAAGTGAAGCAGTGAAGGTTGAGAGGAGGTCTACTAGAGGTGTACAAGATCATGAGGGATACAGATAAGGTGAATAGGAAGGACATTAGAGTCATACAGCACAGAAACAGACCCTTCAGTCCAACTCGTCCATGCTGACAAAGTTGTCCAAACAAAATTAGTCCCATTTGCCTCCTATCCCTCTAAACCTTTCTTGTTTGCGTACCCGTCTAAATGTATTTTAAGTATTGCAACTGTACCTGCATCTACCACTTCCACAGGCGGGTGTGAAAAAGTTGTTGCTCAGGTCCCTTTTAAATCTTTCTCCTCTCACCTTAAACCTATGCCCCCTAGTTTCGTACCTTCCTACCCTAGGGAAAAGGCCTTTGCTATTCACCTTATCTATACCCCTCATGATTTTATAAACCTCCATAAGGTCATCTCTCAACCTCCTATGCCCATTGAAAAAAGCTCCAGCCTATTCAGCCTCTCCTAATAACTCAAACTTTCCAGTTCTAGTAACACCTCTATAAATATTTTCAGCACCCTCTCCAATGTAAGAATCTCCTTCCTTAAAGTTTTTGAGATTTGTAGCTCGGGTCGTGGATGAGGTTGCAGACTTGCTCGCCAAGCCAGTGTGCTTGACTGCAGATGTTTTGTCACCCTGCTGTGTAACATCGTCAGTGCGCCTCCGGTGAAGCGTTGGTACTCGGTCCCCCTTGTTATTTATATGCCTCGGTTTGCTGGGATGGTTGGTATTAATTCTGGTTCTGTTTTTCAGTGGTGTGTATATTGGGTCCAGTTCAATGTGTTTGTTAACGGAGTTCTGGTTGGAATGCCAGACCTCCAGGAATTCCCTGGCATGTCTCTGTTTGGCTTGTGTTATTATGGATGTGTTGTCCCAGTCAAATTCGTGTCCTTCTCTGCCCGTGTGTATTGAGACCAGTGAGAATGGGTCGTGTTTCTTGGTGGCTAGTTGGTGTTCGTGTATCCTTATTGCCAGTTTTCTTCCAGTTTGGCCTATGTAGGTATTTCTCACAGTCCTTTTATATATTACATTAGTTTTATTGGTTGTGGGAACGGGGTCCTTTACGTACAATGTCACCTTGCCGGGTGACAAAACATCTGCAATCAAACACACCGGCTCAGTCAGCAAGTCTGCAACCTAATATCCTTCCGATAGCAGGGAGACCAGAACTGTAGTTCTGAGGAAGGTTCCGGACCCAAAATGTTAACTCTTTTTTTCTTCACAGATGCTGACAGACCTGCTGAGCTTTTCCAGCAATTTTGTTTGTGAGCAGAATTGTACACAGTACTCTAAATGTGGCCTCATTAACATCCTGTACAACCTTAACGTGATGTCCCAAACTTGAGTTTCTGGCTGCTAGGGTGAAGTCTTAAACAGCGCGTCTTCTTCTTAAAAACCAAAAAGATTGGATTATTTCTTTCTTCTGGATTGGAGAGAGACAGCACATGAGAATCATAATTGTTTTACAGTATTGCATTTTTGCCAAAGGATGTGTTTATGGGATTCTGCCTATATTGGAACAGTTGATTTTTTAAAAATTCATTAATGGGATGAGGCCGTTGCTAGCTAGGCAGCATTTATTGCCCATCTCTAATTGCCCAGAGGGCAGTTCAGAGTCAACCATATTGCTGTGGTTCCAGAGTTATATGCAGGCCAGACCAGGTAAGGATGGCAGTTTCTTTCGCTAAAGTACGTTAGTGAACCAGATGGGTTTTTCCAAAATTGACAACGGATTCATGGTCATCATTAGATTCTTAATTTCAGATACTTTTATTGCATTCAAATTCCACCATCTGCCATGGCGGGATTTGAACCCAGGTCCCTGAAACGTTATCTGGGTTTCTGGATTAACAGTCCAGTGATAATACCAGTAGGCCATTGCCTACTGTGGTTAAATAATCAGTAGTTAAATAATATTTTATCTTGTTAGGTGTTTCAACGAAGTAGTTACTTCTGTATTTTAACTGTTGTAAGAATAAACTGTGTTTTGATCAAAGCCTAGTGATGGATCAATCGAATTACATCTAGAACACAAACCTTACACTTGCCTTTAAATAAATATAAAAGTTAGGGTCTAGGCTATCTCCTTACAATATCTTTTGGGTTTTGGGGACTTGTAGTTTGGTCCATAACAACAGAAAGGCATATTATCATCTGACTGGTAATAAACTGAGTGGGGAATATACAATGAGACTTCAGTGACTGACGTAGTAGGACACCCAAGGTGAACATGCAGGTGCAGCAGGCAGTGAAGGTGGCAAATGGTATGTTGTCCCTCATAGCAAGAGGATAAATACAAGAACAGGTATGTCTTGGTAAGACCACACATGGAATACTGCATGCAATTTTGGTTTCTTTATCTGAGGAAGGCTGTTCTGGCTATGGAGGGAGTACAACAAAGACTGATTCCACAGATGACAGGACAGCCGTATGAGACAGGGTAGATGCAGGAAGAATGTTCCTAATGATGAGGGAGTCCAGAACCTGAGGTCATAGTCTAAGGGTATGTGGTAGGCCATTTCAGCCCGAGATGTGGAGAAATTTCTTAATCTAGAAATGGTGAGCATATGGAAATCACTATCACAGAAAGCAGTCAAGGCCAATCACTGTATGATTTCAAGAAGTTGGACTGGGCCTAAAGGAATCAAAAGATATGGGGGGAGGGGCAGAAAAGCAGGAATAGCCTACTGATTTGGATGATCAGTCATGATCATAATGAATTGCAGAGCTGGCTCAGCCAAATAGCCTAATCCTGCTCTTATTTTCTATATTTCTATTTGAAATTTAAACAAAGCCTGGCAGTTAACAGTCAACCAGTAATAACGGCAACATCTCCTCTGCAACACCTCTAACAATTTCAGACCATTTGCCAACCAGTCAACATTCTCCTCTCAATGTATAAAAATTGGTTTTTCCCCTTTTTGGCATTATTACGAACTGTCCTAATCAGTGCAAGATGAACAGCTTTGACAAAATGTGTTTATTCTCAACAATACTCTAATATGGTATTCAAAAGTGCCTATGGATAATTTTTTTTGTATCATGAAAATCTTATAGAGGTACTGGAGAAGATGCAAAGAAGCTTCACTAGAATTCTAATGGAATTGAGGGGCCATATCTATCTGGAAAGATAAAGCAGGACAGGGATAATTTTTTCACAAAAAAATCTGGAAGTCTTCAAGATTAAAGAAAGAATTGGTATAAATAACGTACAGAAAATGTTTCTACTTGCAATAAAGACCAGAGTAGGGCCATAAACAGAAGATAATCTAATAAATCCAATAGGGAATTCAGGAGATATGTTTAGCAGTGGTCAGAATGTGAACTCACTATGACCAACAGAAGTTGAGGTAACAAATGTAGGCACATTTGGGGGAATTTAGAAAATATGGGCAGATAGGCACAGAGGTTATGTCAATCAGGTCAAAGAAACAAGAGTGCAAGGATGCTCAATTGAAGCATAATAGCAGACTGGAGCTGTTAGGCTGAATGAACCAGTTTCCATGCTGTATATGCTATGTAATCTCTGTGCAGCGATTACCTCAGAGAGGACTGAAAGACTTGGAGGCACATTTTCCACTTTAACAAAGTCATCTTCATCTGATTTCTGGCTCAGGTTGCCAGATCCAGCTTCCTGCTGAAGGGAGTAAAAAAAACACATCATGAAGTTTTTGTTAAATCGCATATGCAATTGGGTAAAATTGAATGAGAAACGGAGTTTGTTAACATAAGAATGGCAAGAACCACTTCACACAATTCAAAAATTTAACTGAACCGATAGAAACATCAAAAGAAACAAAAAAAAACTAAGCAGTTTTAAAGATTATACTTAAAACACACCACCTTCCAAAATAAAACAAAGAACAGCAGATGCTGGAAATCCAAGACACACAATAACAGAGCTTGTTGGAGAAACTCAGCAGGTGTGGTAACATCTGTGAAGAAAAAACAGAGTTAACTCTTCTTCAGAACTGACAGCAGCTAGGAAATGATGACATTTATGCTGATGACAGGAGGTTGGGGGGGTGAGGTTGATGGAGAATCGGAGTGAGCGAATAGGTGTACAGGGACCCTTCTTCCACCCGATGACAGCCCACCTTTCAAACATCAGTTTATGCATGCAATTTTCTTCAGCAGTTCATCAAATCACAGAAAACTGCACAGCAGAAGGCCATTTGGTTCTCATCCTGTGTTGGCCCTTTGAAAGAACAGTTGTGCTGAGTCTTAACGTCCTTGCTTTTCATCTCTCACCCTTCAAATTCATCTTCCTTCAGCATTCGGCCAACTCACTTTGAAAATAATTTATAGAATTGATGTCCACCACCATGTAGTGCATTTCATACCTCAATAACTCATTTCACCTCTAGATTTCTTATTCTTATTTCTTCTTATTCCATGCCCTCTTATTATTGATCTACTTACCAAGATTTTTCCCCCTATTTACTTTATCAAAATCCATCATCTTGAAAACTTAGATTAGCTCAACCCTAACCTTTCCTGTTCATGAACAACTGTCCCAACTTTTCCAACCTCTCCTCATAACAGAAGTTCCTCATCCTTGAAAACTTTCCAGTAAACCTCCTGTACAACCTATAATAGTCCTCCACTGCCCTCAGAACCATCCTGTAGTGTGGAGTTCAGCACGGCCTGCATTATGCTAGCTAAGGTCTAACCAGATTTATAAAGTTCTAACGTGTTTGCATTTATATTTTATGTCTCTCATTAATAAACGAAATAACTTGAATGCTTTGTAACCACCTTATCAACTTCGAGGATTTGTGCATACGAACATTAAGGTCCATTTGCACTACATTAAAAATTTATCACTTACTATACTGTTCTTTCCATATTCTTTCTCCCAAAAATCATTACCTCAGAACAGTAGCCAATTGGTATAAGGATGTCTTCAATTCTAGTCTGTGGATGATGCTAGGACCTCTAGGTTGACAGATGCTTGTTTGAAGAGGCCAATTTATTGAATATTTATTACTATCTTGGAGAGACTAGATATATCCTACCTTTTAAATACAGTTCAGGCCAATCAAAGCCATAGATATCTAGTTGCAGATATTCAACGATCTGTCAGCCTTAAGGACATAAAAAGGCCTTTAGTGCCATCCTTTTTGATGTTAATGTGCCAACAGTTAAACCAAGATCTTGGCAGCAACTAGGGTAAATGCCTGCCTAATAACACCCAACTGAAAATGGTTGTATTTCTCATTTACACAGTGTTCATTTTTAATTTGATAAATGCAGTAGAATGCACACATTTCTAATGGACACATTTTTATAAATTTAGCAACTTGTGGTAAGACCCTCTGCAATAATCAAGGTGGTAATTGTGAATGAATCATCAAATTTTGCAGTGTTTGGTCTTTGGCAATGGGTAGTACAGCCACACTGACCAAACTACAGAGCCATTCAAATTGTTTTTCAGGCTAAGGTGAGTACGTCAGAGTACATGCAATCACAGCTTTCTTGAATGAACAAATTCTACACAGTTCTCTTGCTGCTTGCATGCTAATATATTTAATTCTGCCTGAATCATTCTTTCTCTAACTGGGTCCCTAGGAAGATAAGAATTGATTGCTGATTACCATATAATGTAGGTCAGCCTTTGCTTCTCCTTTCTTGTCCTGAAAGGATAGTCTATTATTACCCTTCCTGAAGGTTTTTCTCTCAGTGTCGATACTTAAATTCTCAAGAAACCTAAAAAAAGAAACAAAACCCTAGAAAGACCAGCATGTTGGAAATTCTATCTGCTTAATTTACCCTATGATGGGGGTAGTGGATTCTAATAAAACTTCAGACAAGAATTCTGATGCAAACAGCTTCATAGAATCGCAACAGTGTGGAATCAGGCCATTTGGCCCCTCGGGTCCACACCAACCCTCCGAAAGAGCATCCCACCCGTACATACCCCCCTACCCTATCCCTGTAACCCCATATTTCTCATGGCTAATCCACCTAGCCTGCACACCTCGGACTGATGGAGAAAAACCAACTGTCCCAACAGGCATATTCTAAGCTTTACTACAACATAATTGTGGTACCATCCACATGCCATGTAATGACATACCCTTGTGCTTATTTAGCACAGTTTCCCTAGAGCCTAATAAGCCCATCTATACATTTTTGGCTGAAGTAGAATATATATTACAAAGTCTTTCCAATATTGCATGGTCAGCACTTACATAATCATTCACTAACACAGGGGAATCTGTGTCAGGACTGCCAGCCAATGAGCTTTCTGGTGTTCCTTGCAGGTCATTTTCTTGTTCCATTTGTACTGCTGTTCCAGCATTTGCATTTTCACAAAAAGCCAATGATGGCTTTGGACACTTCTTGTCTTCATTAGCTGCATCCAATGGATTATGTTGGAAAGACTCATTGGGAAGATCAGGATTTGGGCTACTTTCATTTTCTGTTACAAAGTGAAAAGAAAAGTTCATTTAACACAATTGTTTTGTACACACAAGCATACAATAATCCTTTCTTTCATATTCTAATTTGATAATGAAATAAATTCAGAACTGTTGAACCTATCATCTGTCACTTTTTGAAAAGCAGACAAAAGATCAAACACTACCTGCAACGACAGTTAAATTTGTTTTCATGGATTGACTAGTCACATCATCCTTATTGGGCTCAGGACGAGTATCCTAAAAAGAGGAAAGTTCTTAATGTCAATAAGCATGGCACAAAATGTCATAATACTAATATTTAACAATATTTTTATTTTTACCAAACTCAGGATAGTAACATGACAGACCTTGTTTAAAATGCATTCTGATAAAGGCTTCATTTTCTCCGAACTAACGCTGAAACAATGCACAGGCCTTCGAATACAAGCTTCTAATCACAGATGACAATAGTGTCGAGACTGGGAATTGATATAATGTAAAAGGCAATACATTATGAGTCAGTACTGTACTCAAAGTCAGTCCAGCTAAGCAATGAGGAAATAATAATGTAGCTTGAGTTGGCACGTAATCTTTCACTACTATTAACCAAACGGTTCAAATAATTTGGTGCATATCAGCTGGGATGCATCAAACAGGAAGTAAATCATCAGACAGAATGGCATAAAGAGATGCCATGTTTTAACTTGGAGACCTCTGATTTTAACAGGCTACGAGACATCATCTTCACTCTCCTCATGATTATTCGCAAAAGTTTTTGATACAGGACTAACATGAGATTTGTCACAGCGCAGTGGTAGTGTCCATACCTCTGAGACAGAAGACCCAGATTCAAGTCTTACCTGCTCCAGAAGAATGCACAACACATCTGAACCAGTGGTTTAATGACATCTATGGAGCTAATACATGTTACTCTGTGTGGATGGTTACAATGTTTAAGATGAATGCTTTGTCAACAATAAGTTTTCTGAATTATCAACTTTAACACTGTCTCTAGCTTTAGGATTCTGTTTAATGAGCCGCTTTTGTAACTATTGAGCCCTCACACACTATAGGATAATGATCAGAATAGTACGCAGGATATTCGAGCAGGCTGTGAATCAGTACTCTACTTGTCACATTTATCAAAACAAACACAGAAAACGCTGGAGAAACTCAACAGGTCTGGTAGCAACTGTACAAAGAAAGAGAGTTAACATTTTGAGTCCAGTATGACTCTTCTTCAGAATGGTCACCTTTAGAGTCACCTTTACATGACTTCTGAAGTCAACTTTAATCGACTTTGGGTTTTGTTCTACTTCTCAGCCAACACGTCTCAAACAATAAGGATAAAGCAATTTTGAACCAAAGAAAATAATAGTTTTAATTAAAAGCAAACTACAGTGGATGCTGGAAATCTGAAACACAGAAAATGCTGGAAAAACTTTGCTGGTCTGGTAGCATCTGTGGAGAGAAAAATAGCTAATGTTTCAAGTCCGGTATGACCTTCCCCAGCACACTTGCCTTCATTGTTCAGTTCTTTGAGTAAAGGAGTTGCGAAGTTATGTTGAGGTTGTATAGGACATTGGTAAGGCGTCTTCTGGAGTACCGAGTCTAGTTCTGGTCGCCCAGTTATAGGAAGGATATTATTAAGGTGGAGAGGGTTCAGAAGAGACTTACCAGGATGTTGCTGGGTATGGAAGGTTTAAATTATAAAAAAGGCTGGATAGGCTGGGAATTTTTTCACTGGAGCTTAGGAGGTTGAGAGGTGAACGTATAGAGGTGTATAAAATCATGAGAGGTATAGATAGCTAGAAAGCCAGTTACTGGTAGGTCTCTTTCCCAGGATGGAGGATTTTAAGGCTAGAAGGCACATTTTCAAAGGTGAGAGGAGAGACATTTAAAACAAAGACATGAGAGGCAATTTTTTTTTTTACATAAGAGGGTGGTTCGCATGTGGAATGAACTTCCTGAGGAACTGGTGGATGTGGGCACAATTACAATGTTTACGGGACAGTTGGATAAGTACATGAATAGAAAAGGTTTGGTGGGATATGGGCCAGGAGCAGGCAGGTGGGGCTAGTTTGGGATTATACTCGGCATGGACTCGTTGGATCGAAGGGTCTGTTTCTGTGCTCCATGACTCTACAAGAGCATCTCACCTGGCCCGAGCTCCACACTCTGTCCCTATAATCCCGCACATTACCATGGCTAATCCACCCCTGGACACGACAGACAATTTAGCACAGCCAATCCTCCTAACCTGTGTATCTTTGGACTAATAATCTTTAGCTTAAGTCTGACATGCAAAGGGAAGTCAATCTGCTGTAAAAGACCACATAAGTTTTCTTTTTTAGGATTGTAAATGGAAGTTGGACTGTTACATAAATTGAATGCCAGGACAGTTTTGCAACTTGAAGATCAAGTGCTTCAGTTTGTGCCAGACACATGCTGCTTTTTGAAGCAGTGAGGGAGAATCTGAGGCTGAGTGGTGCTGAGAGTACTCTGAGTTAAGAATATTCTTTCAGATGACAGCCCTCTAATTAGGTGAGCTACAGAGAGCTAAAAAGCTGTAAAAGCAAGGGCAGCCTCCACAGCTTGCAAACTGAAAGCATTCATTTCTTCCTTCTCAGAAAGTACTGAGAGAGACATCTGAATCCACCTCAAAATGTGGACTTTTGGTCTTCAGAATTTTGTTTACCTTGTCCATATTCTTTTTCCACCCGTAGTCTCTGTGTGAAACCATGTGTTGTTTGTGTCATAATTGTGAATGTTGTATATGCAATTAGGGTTTTGAAAGGAGTATTGTTTAGGTTGCATAGTAATAGTTCAGCAATTCTTCTTTCCCTGATTTTGGCTAAGTGTGCTGCAATAAATAGTTATTTTCTGTGAATAATGAAATCTGGTTTGATTTGCTTTTGTCCTGAATAGCAGACAGTAAAGCAAATTGAACAATGTGGTGTTCTAATTAGGATTTTATATATCTTAGGATAACTTTTGGAACATTTGACACAATTAAGGGCACTCTCAAGGCAGTCATGATAATACTCATTAAATACATTACCTGTTCAGGATCATTTTCATCAGCAATTTCATTGTTGGCTTGAAGTGATGTTTGCACGTCAATAGCTCCAGAATCAAAATCCTCTATTTCATCTTCTTCATTCTCATCTTCCCCACTGCCATAATTAGTCAGGGCCTGAGTTTCAGCTTTGGACAGACCTGATGATTCCAATAAATTAAAAAAAAACGTAAGATTTATTTTTCTTTTATAAATTAAATGTTGACAAGGTGCCGCACAAGAGGCTGCTGAGTAAGATAAGGGCCCATGGTGTTAGAGGCAAGGTGCTAGCATGGATAGAAGATTGGCTGTCTGGCAGAAAGCAGAGAGTGGGGATAAAAGGGTCTTTCTCAGGATGGCAGCCGGCGACAAGTGGTGTTCCGCAAGCGTCAGTGTTGGGACCACAACTTTTCACCTTATACATTAATGATCTAGATGAAGGAACTGTGGGCATTCTGGCTAAGTATTCAGACGATACAGAGATAGGTAGAGGGACAGACAGTATTGAGGAGGTGGGGAGGCTGCAGAAGGATCTGGACAGGTTAGGAGAGTGAGCAAAGAAGTGGCAGATGGAGTACAACGTGGGAAAGTGTGAGGTCATGCACTTTGGTGAGAACAGTAAAAGCATGGACTATTTTCTAAATGGGGAGAAAATTCAGAAGTCTGAAGTGCAAAGAGACTTGGGAGTTCAAGTCCCAGATTCTCTCAAGGTAAACTTGCAGGTTGAGTCAGTAGTCAGGAAGGCAAATGCAATGTTGGCATTTATTTTGAGAAGACTTGAATATAAAAGCAGGGATGTACTACTGAGGTTTTATACGGCTCTGGTCAGGCCACATTTGGAGTATTGTGTGCAGTTTTGGGCCCCATATCTCAGGAAGGATGTACTGGCCCTGGAGCGGGTTCAGAGGAGGTTCACGAAAACGGTCCCAGGAATGGAAAGCTTAACATATGAGGAATGTTTGAGTACACTGGGACTATACTCATTGGAGTTTAGAAGGATGAAGGGGGATCTAATTGAAACTTACAGAATACTGAATGGCCTGCACAGAGTGGAAGGGAAGTGAGGTTGAAATAAACATGCTTCCCCTATGAGTTTATGGAAGCATTTTTGATCAAACCTGGCAGACCGAGATCTCATCTCAAATTCTGCACTGTGACTTCCTCTTTATTTCTACATTCCTGTACTTTTTGTACAAGTGAAGTATCAAATTTTGGTTGCCTGGGGAAAGAGGAGGTGGCCCTCTGACCTTGGATAGCAAGGTGTCTTAGTTCTCTCCCCTAGATGTGAGAACTTGTGTATGGGAGGTGGTTTTCAACACCTGAAACATAATATGTATTTGACCCACGTAACAGTTTAAAGATTCTGTTGAAAAATTTCTTACTTATGGAAACACATTTTGCAGGCAGCACTTCACTGTCCACATCATCCTCCTCTCTATCAGACAAAGCACTTTTCAATACCAGCTCAGCTTCAGTTGATTCATTTACTTTGAGACCATCTGCATTTACTGTTTCACTTTCATCCTTATCCTGCAAAGTCAAAAATTAGTAGTAGAACAAAGTTTGTTATCTAGAATATTAAAAAGGTCACAAAAATCTACCAGGAAAACTTTTAGCTTTAAAGTTTCATTTGAGTTACTGAAAGAATTGAACAAAAATGTTGAGAAATCCAAACTTGTATGATACTTCATGACAGTTGAGAAGACTTTATGATAATATCTAAAACATTTGTACAAGCAATTATAAGTAATTACTTCAATAAGACATAAAAAGTCAAATTTCTTTAAAAAATTCAGAACAAGAAAAAACACAAATCTGTCGTGACCGTTCACTGATTTTTTATCAGTCAGACTTACTTTGTCTTCATCTTCAAGCTCTTCTGCAGAGGAACCATTCTCTTTGGAATGTTGTTTCTCCTGTTAAGAGGAGTATTTTTAGAACAATAGCATATAAAACAGCTTTCACATCAAGCCAAAATAAACTCCGTTTCACACTGATTATCATCTACTTCTTCTTTCACAGATATGGGAAAATTTCAACAACAGAATAGACTTTCATATTTCCAAAGATAGGGAGATGGTGCCCTAGTGATATCATCATTGGATAGTAATGCAGAGATTAAAGTTCAAATACTGCCATGGCAGATGGTGGAATTTTAATCAATAAAAATGTGGAATTAAGAGTCTAGTGATAACCATGAAACCATTGTCAATTGTTGGAAAAAACAGACTACTTGGTACTTTAAGGAAGGTAATTACCACCCTTACCTAATTGGGTTTATATCCAGATCCACAACAATATGATTGACTCTTAGCTACCCTCTGAGAAATTAGGGATGAGGAATAAAATGCTGGCTGAGCCAGCGATGCCCATGTCCCACAAATAAATAAAAAGAAGAATCTCATGTTTCGATTTCATAGTTCACAAGCTTCCATGAAAGGAATTGTACACAAGTTATATTCCCAGTTTTAAAGTTTTCTGGATTAAAGTTATTTCAATATCTATTTCCGAATGCTAAAGACTTATTTTTCTTGCTTACAATTATTGTTAAAGCCACACAAAATATTCAAACAAATATATATGTGCAAGTTTAGATAGCGCATGTAAAAACAAACACATTACCGCACCTCAGTTGTATAACGTGGTTTAAAAGAAGCTACTTCCTTTAGTCTTTTGCATCTTTGCTTTGCTGCCACGCTGCTGTTATCCAAATCTTGCATAAGTCTGAAGAACGCAAGTTCATTAAACAGAATCTCTGAGATCTCTACCAGCAAATCCTCTCCACATTCCTTCAGTTTTCTACCAGCAAACTTTGCCAGAGAATCCTACATGAATAAAGTCAAAGCTTCAACCATGGAACATGGTATCAGGAGTCAACAATTCATTTGATCATAGTTGATTGATACCCAATATCTTAAGTGAATAAAATTCAACCTCAATTTTGAAATTTTCAGTTGATACAGCATCTACAATTTTTAGTGGTGAATGAGTTTCAGATTTCCCCTAGTTTACATATGTGGAAATGTTTTCTGAGTTCACTCCTAAAGCACCTTGATTTCTCACTTTTCAAATTGCAAACACCGAAGAGTTTTCTTGTTTCTCCAAAATTGGATGGATGAATCATTTATAATAATTGCATGAAAACACAATCCTCTTTCTTCTAAATACAAGTTATATTCATGCGAAATCTTTGATTATTAGTATCATTTCCTTAAACTGACACAGAATCCCTTTGCAAGGCTATTACATCGATTCTAAAGTGCAACATCCAAAACTGAATGCAATTCCTCAAAGGCCCTGTAAAACTGAAGCATCACATCCTCATATGAAAAGGAAACAATTCTAATCCCCTTCCAATAAAGGTAAACAATTCAATTAGCATTTTGATTTAGTTTGCTAGGATATTCACTGTTCATAACAAGATGTCTTCTACACTGAGGATACCAAATACACTTTAGGTGATCACTTTGCTGAACATCTCTATTTGTAAATATTAAACTAAATTTGCTGGGTTAGCTAAAATGAAATTAAATGAAATGAGGAATAAAAACAACATATGAAGTCTGAACTTATGTGAATATAAGGCCTCCAGAGGCAGTTAACAAATATATGCTGAGAACACCCAATACCAGTTCAAATAGCTGTCTGACAGTTTCAACTCTCTATAAACTAATAACCAAAATTTCAAAATGATTTACCTCCCTCTCTCACCCTACTTGTTGTCCAAAGGCTGTTAGTCACAAGTCCACTGTCATGATATTACAATGGTATAAGGAAAGGCAGATTCCAAGATCAACCTCGGTCATTACGGGTACTGAATCTGTGTTGGCATTGCTAAAGCACAGTCCAGCTAACTGAGTTAACTTGCCTCTAAATGATTTAACAGACTTAAAGGTGTAAATGCCTAAGAGATTAAACATGAGTTATCTGATGTCCTAAATGTTATAATTCATGACTTAAAAATTTATCCTCATTTTTTGTTGCAATAAACTTTTAATAATTTAGAACAGATACTGCAGATAATTACTTCGGACAGATTTTGTACACGTGGCTTTGATTTACTGTACCATGTGATCCGTTTCTTTTTTCCCCTTTATACACCATTGCAGGACCACACTGCAATTTCCTTCCACACAAGTGAAATTCCAGTCCAGGCCATCATCAACTTATATTTTTATTTTAGGTCTGCATTTGTACACTATCACCTACCACAAAAACCTAGGCTGTTGCATATTGTTTAAATGATGTTCCCTGCTTACCAAATTGATAGCTAATTCTGATTTGTTACTCAGTGTTACATGCCATTTGGCCTCTTGCCAAGTCAGTTCTAAAACATTGCTCTCGAAATTCCTTGATGGAGTATCCAAATGGGTCAGATACAAAAGGAATCTAGTGGTATCCATGAATTGCTGTTAAACCTGCACTTCTTGTCTGGTGATAAACATGTTCAAAAGGACTGGGATTCATCTCTACAGACATCCAAATCAAAAGTAGAGAAGAAAAACAAAGTCGTTGGAAAAGCTCAGCAGGTCTGGCAGCATCTGTGAAGAAAAAAATCAGAGTTAACATTTTGGGTCCGGTGACCCTTCCTCAGAACAGTTCTGAGGAAGGGTCACCGGACCTGAAAGATTAACTCTGATATTTTTCTTCACAGATTCTGCCAGACCTGCTGAGCTTTTCCAACGACTTTGTTTTTGTTCCTGATTTACGGCATCCACAGTTCTTTCGGTTTTTTTAAAAAGTAGAGAAGTTGGGTTATAAAGAACCTTGATCTGATCACAGCGTGCAGAGTTCTGGTATCACATTATGAAGTCACAGAAGCACTGGAAAAAGTGCAAATAAGATCACAAGGCTGTCAGTAGAATTGAGAAGGCACGATTATCATGATAGAGTGAACTGACTGGGGCTTTTTTTCTCTGGAAAAGAAGAGCTGATAGAGGCTAATTAATACAAGGTATACTGCAGAAACTCACTAAGGCTCCTTAGACAGCACTTTCCAAACCCAAAACCAGTGCCATCTAGAAGGACATGGACAACAGATAATTAGGAGCACCTGAGAATTCTCCCCCAAGTTATTTGACCATCCTATATCACTATTCCTTGACTGTCTTAGAGCTCAAATCCTGGAATTCCCTTCCCAATAGCATTGTGGGAGTGCCTACACCAAATGGACTGCAAGAAGGCAGCTCACTACCATCTTCTCAGAGGAAACTAGGGATGGGCAATAAACACCAGCTTAGCCAGCAAAATGCACATCCCTTAAATAAACAACAAAATGCTGTTGGATACAATAGAAATAAAACTAAAGTTCAGAAGAAACCTCTTGACTTGGAGTAAGAATGTGGAATGTGCAACACTCTAGAGTTTGAGGTGATTTGAATAGATGCATTTCAGAGTAAGCTAGATCAGGCACAACCAAGAAGGGAATGGAAGGCTGTTATATGAATAAGCTAAGGTGAGAGAAGGTTCACATGAATCAGAAACGCCATTATACATTTGAGAGACCATGGGCATGTTTCTGTGCCGTAGAGATCTGCATAATTCTATGTATTTATAGAGAGCCCACTTCATCACAACTCTCAGAATATCTCAAGCAGCTCCAGCACTATCTTACATCCAATACTATTCCCTGATCATCCATGCACAAATCCCTTTCATACTGCAGTAATTATGCAAGTGATCAGTATTGCTGCCACACCTCCTCTGACAATTTTCCTACTATTTATAACAATCCTTTAGCCTGGAATATTTAGCTCCCATCATGCTCAGCTTGTAGCCAAGAGTTGATAATGGAAACTGCATCATGCCCTTTTATGTTGAATTCCTGTCTTTAACTCAGCTTGCAGCACGTTTCTTGTGTTGCATACATACAACGTGATACTCTCATTTGGATAAATATCTACACCAGGACCAGTTATTCTGCTGATCCTTTTTGCACTTTGGCTTACAGCCACATGCACTCTTTTTCTGGATTGCCTGGATGAGTTAATTGTGTAGTCCCTTTAAATTCTTCTGCATAGCAGCATGCATACATTAACTTAAAGGCCAACTTGTGCATTGCCTAAACAGAAGGTTTTGGTTGCTTCGAGATCACACAGCTTAGAGGTAGCACTGTCCTAAGTGCAGATTGCAGTCCACCCAACGCACCAGTACATTCAGAAGCAATCAAACTCAGACGACATTTCAATATACATTTAGTGCATTTCAAAAATATTTCAACACAAATTAAACAGTAATGAGCAAGTAAAGAGCAAACCTGAAGTATGGCACCAAGCTGATCATGGAAGAACTTGACAAACTCCTTGCTTTCATCATTCTGTTGTGTGAGGGTTAATACCATACATCCAATAGTAGATAATAACTGTGGGGAGCACACATCATCCATATGTTCCTGAAAAGAAAAAACCAGCAGAACAAAATTATAATTGTATGTTTATCATTAGAGCATTATTGGCTTATTTAAATTGATTTTTTTCCACTCTTTCACCGCAAGTCCAAGCTTCATGCATAGATCAACATCACTTAAGTCAAGGCAGAATTACTGAGTTTCTGTAGCTGTGTGAAAATATAACCTTTTCTCAAACTTCTATTTTCCAAGATTTTTTTTCCTCAGTTTGGCACAAAAGCAGTTACTGCTAACCAATTCTGGGGTGTAGTCCATCCAGCGCAGGTGATTTATCCACCTTCAGACCAATCAGTTTTACTAGCACCTTTTCCTTGGTGATGGCCACCATACTCAGCTCTGCCCCCTGACTCTTCTGAATTTTTGGGAGATTACTCATGTTTTCCACTGTGAAGACTGACTCAAAGTAATTATTCAGTTCCTCAGCCATTTCCTTGTTCCCCACTACTATCTCTCCTCCGTCATTTTCCAATGGTCCAATATCCACTTTTGCCTCTCTTTTGCCCTTTATATATTTAAAGAAACTCTGACAGTCTTCATTTATATTACTGGATAGCTTACCCTCATATTTAATCTTCTCCCTCCTTATTTTTTTTTGTTGCCCTCCATTTGTCTTTGTAAGCTTCCCAGTCCTCTGGTTTCCCACTGCTCTTCGCCACATTATATGCTTTCTCTTTCGCTTTTATGCTGTCCCTGACTTCCTTAGTCAGCCACGGTTGCCTCATCCTCCCTGTACCATGCTTCTTTTTCCTAGGGATGAATTTTTGCTACTTCTCCTGAATTACTCCCAGAAACTCCTGCCATTGCTGTTCCACTGTCTCTCCTGCTCGGCTCCTCTTCCAGTCAATTCTGACCAGCTCCTCCCTCATACCTTTGTAATAGCCTTTATTCAGCTGTAATATCGTTCCCTCTGCTTCTATCTTCTCCCTCTCAAATTGCTGCATAAATTCAATCATATTATGATCACTGCCTTCTAAGGGTTCCTTTAGCTTAAGCTCCCTTATCAAGTCTGCCTCATTGCACAACACTAAATCCAGTACTGCCTGTTCCTTTGTGGGCTCCACCATGAGCTGCTCCAAAAAGCCATCTTGTAGACATTCCACAAAATCCTTTTCTTGCAATCCACTACCAACATGATTTTCCCAGTCCACCTGCATATTGAAATCCCCCATGATCACTCGCAGATCCTACACCACATTGCCTGTGCACAAGTTCAGCAGGTAACAGGGAACAAAATGGACTGTTGACCTTTACTTCAAATGGTTTGGAGTACAAAAATAGAGATCTTGTTAAACTCGATTTGGCACTAGTCAGACCACAACTGGAATATTGTGAACAGCTGTGTACCCATATCTAAGGTCAGACGAACAGGCATTAGACACAGTCCAGAGAGGGTTCCGAGGTTGATTTTGGGTATGGAAGGGTTTTCTCACAAGGAGAGGTTAAGTAGATTGGACTTGTACCCATTGGAGTTTAGAAGAATGATACATTATTGACCCATAACATTCTTAGGGGGCTTCAGAGAGTTGATGCAAAGAGACTGTCTCCTGTTGTGGGAGAATATGGGACCGGACGGCAGGATCTCAAGAGTAATCGGTCACCTGTTGAAGGCAGATGAAGTGGGATTTCTTTCTCTCAGAAGGTGGTGAATTTGTAGAATTCTCTAGTGCAGAGTGATGTTAAGGCTGGGTTGTTCAGCATATTCAAGGCTGAGATCTGACCACCATACTCACTAAAATAAAAATAAATAATTATCTATGAGGCCAGACTTGGGTTCTAACTTGTCCAGTGGCACCATCAGCTGGGATTATAACAAAACCAGAATTCGAATAAGGACAGTGAAAGCAGAAGATGGAGCATAGATCAGAGCAAGCGGAACCATGGACAAAAATTTGGCCGATCGCCTGTAGTGTTAGAAAATGAATTTATTCACTTTAATAGAAAGCATACAAGATAAGGTGCTTGTACAGTGAACTCTAAGTAAAAATGATAAAAATTGCTCATCCTGTTTGACATCATTTCATTCAATTTTTGCAATTAAGGGTTATCAGTACCATTTGATAAAATAAATAAATAAAAATGAATGCTTTCTCATAGGTTACCACTTCTGAAATGTGCATATTTGCAATGTTACGAAATGGAAGAGAAATTATCAAGTCTCTAAATGGCGTTAGAAATTGATGAAAAACTTTAAAGAAGCAAATGCTTCATTAAAACATTGTTTCACTTGTAGCTTACCTTCAGAAATGGGATTACTTCTGTCATGATGGCCTTTATTTGCTTGTCCAGTTGTTGCGTGTCGACTCGAGGGCAAGTAACATTAGAAGCATCAGAAACGTGATCTGCTGTACAGCTATTTCCAGCATTATATCCATCTGAATTTTTCACAAAAGGAAAACCATAGATATTTAATTGTTCTGCTTTGTTACATTAAAATTAAGTGATTTTAAAAAGAAATTTCATTTTCAAGTGACTGCAGACAATATCCAGTTTGGGATGATGAAGGTAGCAAACAAAAATCATCTGCAACTCCCTTTGACACTCAAATGCATCATCAAATCTCTCATCAGCAACATCTTGGGCATCACTGTCCAGAAGTTTAATTGGACCAGGCATACAAGTACTGTGGCTACAGGAGCAGGTCAGAGGCAGGAAATTCTGCAGTAATTCACCTCCTGATATTTTAAAGCCTGTTCACCATATACCAGATACAGGTCAGGTATACGATGGAATATGATAGACTTCCCTGGATGTGTGCAGCTCCAACAACACTAAACGAGCTTGACACCACCCATGATAAACCCAACTGATAGGTACTACTTGAATCAGAGATAGTAGGAGCTGCAGATGCTGGAGAATCCGAGACAACAGGGTGCAGAGCTGGATGAACACAGCAGGCCAAGCAGCATCATAGGAGCAGAAAGGCTGACATTTTGGGCCTAGACCCTACATCCACCTTGAATATTAATTCCCTCCTCCTGCACCGGAGCACAGGTCACAGTGCATACAATCTACAAGATGCATTGCAGCAATAAAGGTTCCTTCAACAGTACCTTCCAACGATGGCACCTCTATTTCCTGGAAAAACCAACGCAGCAAGCATGCAAATACACAGCTTGCAAATTCCACTCACCATCCTGACGTGAAATACACCGCTATCATCATCAGATGAAAGTCTTAGAATTTGAGGAATAACATGACAGAGAATAGACGAAGACTTTGTTAGTTCAAGGTGACTGATCATTATTGCGCTACATCAGGGAACAAGAAAATTACCTGGACCTTTCGCTCCAGGGGGCAGTCTTGAGATTAGGTAATTCAAAATTGGTTTGTGAACAGGGACAGGAGCGTGTGGCTATAGGTGAGGCAGGTATAAGGTTGCAGGAGGTTAAAATTGAGGAACCTCGACCCCTGCAAGCATCCAAAATTTATGAAGCTCTTGCAAGCTGTGTAGATGGCAGGGAGGGTAAAGTAACTGACCATGGGATCTTGGTATTGTCCCAAAGGCAATACTACATGTCAAGTATCAGAGTTAAGGACATCTCCTCATAGCTAAAGAAGAACTTTTCGAGGGAGGGGAGGGAGCCAGTATTGTCATCCATGCTGGTACCAATGACATTGGTAGGACTAGAAAGGAGATTTCGCTGCAAGACTTTGAACAGTTGGGAGCTAAATTGGAAAGAAGACCTCCAAATAATCCTGAGCCAAGGCCAAACTGGCATAGGGTACGTAAAATCAAGGAGATAAAACGTGGCTCAATGTGGTGTGGGTAGAATGGCTTTCTGTTAATGAGACACTGGCACCAGTATTGGGTTGGAAGGAAGCTATCCTAGTGGGATCAGTTTCACTTGAACCATACTGAAACCAATGCACTGGCAAATCCAATAACTAGGTTGTACAGAGGGATTTAAACTAATTGGGCCAGGGGGGAGAGAGAGAGAGTGGGGAGAGAGAGAGGGAGGAAGGAGAGAGAGGGATTGAGATTTTGCAGTGAGGAAATGTAAGCTTATAAAGCCAGCGAACATGGCAGAATTATAGGTCACCTCGTTGGATGAAGACACCAAAGAGAGAAACAGTAAATATGGTCGGTGGGGTGGGTAGGATGAGAAAAAGACAAAATTAATAGCTCTTTACTCAAATGTGCATTGCATTCGGATCAAAATAGATGCATTAACTGTACAATTACAAGTTAATGGATATGATGTTTAACCTTTACACAGACATAGTTAAAAGGAGATCAAAGCTGGGTACTAAATATTCAGAGGTATGAAACTTTTCTGAAGATGATGGAGGAAGGACACGGTGGCAGGGTAGCATTGTTAGTATGGGATGGAATAAATATGATAGCAATAAATGATCTTGGATCAGAAGATACAGAATCCATAAGGCTGGAGGCAGAAATAAAAAGAGGAAGACGACACTGGTACGTGTACTCTAAAGGCTCCTGAGCAGTAGCTATATGGTGGAACAGAAAATAAATCAGGCAATAATTAGATCACGCAACAAAGACAGTGCATTAATCATAGGTGACTTGAATCTTCAGAGAGATTGGAACAGTCAGATTTACAGAGGAAGCCACGAGGCAGAACTCTGTGTTCAGAACTGTTTCCAAAAACATGTTGTGGATCCAACCAAGAATCAGGATATTTTGGATTTGGTGATCTGAAATGATGCAGGTTTAATTAATGATATCAGAGGAAAAGATCCTCTCCAAAATAGTGACCATAACATGATAGATTTTAGCATTTTAAGGGGAGGAACTGGGTTCGGAAACAATAATGCTAAGGTTGATTAAGAATCGTTAAAATGAAATGAGGGCAGAGCTGGCTGGAGTACACGAGGGAAGGGGTTAGCAGAAAAAGTGGTTGAGAAACAATGGCAGATGTTTCAGAAATAGTTCATGGATCAAAGCAAAGAAATAATAAGCGAGGAAGAAGGATTCTAGGAGGAGGAATAGACAACCATGGTTAAGAAGGGAAATTAAAGATAGCATCAAACTGAGAGAAAAAAACAAAATGCCCTTTTATCCCTCTTTTCTTTTTGTTTAAAAAATGAAATAAAATGTATTTGCATCATTTTTCTGGTAAAGTACCTGAAAACTCGACAGACGTATTATCATGAAAAAACTGACAGGTAGCCACAAATGGAGCAAAAAGGTACAATTTATCGACCATCTTAAAAGAGGAAATAAAAATACTGAAGATCTTATTCAGAATATAATGAAATACTTAAGTCTGAAAGTAATAAATGTGTGGATGAAGGTTTCAACAGCAGACAAACTGAAGACAAACTGTTTCAGAGGTAGAAATAGATAGTCTTCATAATAGTTTCAATATTTCATCCAAAACTCAACTTGGAGGTCAAAATTGGCAATACAATTGCGCTAAGAAAGGTTCTGCCTTACTCAGAATTTAATGTCCCATGATGTGGTGAGCTCTAGAATTAAATCATGGAAGATAGCCAAGATAGAGCTTCATGTCATTAACGCAATCAGGGCTCAATGCATATCACTGTTCTTCAATTATTTAATCTACAGCGATGAATCAGTTTGGCTAAAGACATACTCAGGCCTAATTAAATAACATTAAAATTTAGTGTTGCTTAGAGTGGATTTTTCTTTGCTGGAAAATATCTTACATTATTCAAACATGGCAAAGTCGCAAGAAATTGTACAAAAAGTAACTAAACCGATATTTTGCAGAGGTTAATTTGTTCATTTTCAGAGGTGAAGAATTGTGGCACAAATTCGCCACAGCTACTTCGCAGATGACCACAGGCAGATAGAATCTGCAAGTACGGCTGTCAGTCAGTCCCCAGTGATGACAAGATTAACTGATTACTTCTGACTAAAGAGGTTGAAACTCCAGCAAAAAGTGTAGTTGATATTCAATATTATGATGGCCAAGGTTAATTCTCTTCTGTCACCCTGCTCCTGAAATATCTAATCCTCCTGTTCTTCACAGTAGCCAACGACTCTGAACATCGTATCAGTTGCTTAGATAGACTTAGCCAATTTGAATGGGGATTAGTGTCAAATCAGTGCACTGATTTGATCATTCAACATTGCTTGCTATTACTTGGACAGGGGTTAATAAATAAAAACAAAAGTTTGAGCAAGCTGTACATCGGGTCTACGCTACACAGCCCAGATCATGACTGATCTATTGCTCAACTCCACCTTCCAATTTTGAGATATCAACATCTCTCCCAGCTGTAAATATACTCAACAACCGAGCATGCACAATTCCGTGGGGTGGACAATTTTAAGGATTCACAACCTTTTGAATAAAAGTTTCTCATTATCTCAATCAAAGGATGATCTTCTTATCCTGAAACTGTGCCTGTGTATTTCAGATTCTCCAGACAGTTACAGTTTCAATGAGATCACCTCTCATTCTTTTAAATTCAAGCATATACAAGGTTCAGTTTACCCGTCTCATAGGGCAACTCTCATCCCACAAGCACCTTCAATGAAAGTAAACAGGGATCAAAAATGCATGCAGTAAACTAGGCATGGTTTCATAGAAGCCCTGAAACAGCTGTAGCAGGACTTGGTTGTTTCTGTATGCCAGGTTCCATACAATAATGGTCAACAAACATTTGCTTTCCTACTTACTCCAAAGTGAATAACCTCACTTGTGCACATTATAATCTATCTGCCACCTTGAAGCTCATACATTTAATTGTCTATACTTCTCTGTAGTCTTTGTGCCTTCCTGTCAGTTTGAATTCCCTCCTAGTTTTGTATTGTCTGAAAACTCTGTCTCTTTGCCCAAGTTGTTAATAAAGATTGCAAGTAGTCGAGGCCCCAACATGGATCCTTGTGGCACACCACTACACAGCTTGCTGACTCAAAAACACCCATTTATTGCTGCTCTCTGCTTCCTGCCTGTTAACTAATTCTCTATTCATGCCATATTACCCCTAACTCTGTGCATCTTAAAGCATTTTGGAAATCCAAGTATGTCATTACCGGCTCCTCCTCATCTACTACTTACATCCTTAAAAAATTTCTAATAAGTTGAGATGACACAAAACTTATATATATTATGAACTGCGAGGTGGACATTGATAAACTTCAAGTGGATAGAATCAGGCTGCCAGAATTGGCAAACAAGTGGCAAGTGAAACCCAAATATAGAGAAATGTGAAATTATTTAGTTCTGTTGGAAGACAAAGGCAGGCAATATAAAATGAGGGGTAAAATTCTCAAGGGAGTGCAGGAGCATTCAAAGTGGCTAATAAAGCATACAGAAAGCTGCTAATAAAGCATACAGAATTCTGAGCCTTACAAATAGAAGCACGTAATCCAAAAATTAAGATGTTTGATAAATGGTATAAACACTAGTTTGGCCTCAACCGGAATATTATGTCCAAAAAGGACATAAAGGCATGAAAGATGCAGAAAAGATTCACGAAGATGAAGTTCCAGACTTGAGGAACTGCCGTTACGTGGATGGATTGTAGAAGCAAGGGTTGCAACCATTGGTTAAGATTTTGGAAATTTTGATAGAGCTGGTCAAAATCATGAGGGATTGACAGAGAAGACAGAAAGAAACTATTCCTGTTGAAGGATCGATCAAGAACCAGAGCACACTGATCAAAGACCATAACAGGACACAGATATCAATTTTTGCTTGGATGATTATCCATATTTTTGTGATCAGAAAAGCAATGTTCCAATAACTTCAGCCATCAATGAAGAACTGTTCAGAACACGAGTTATACCAGACTTGAATTAGTTTGAGGCTCTCTCATCGACTGCCTTTCAAAAATCCAAAATGGAGTGTTTGGAAAATTTGTTACCAGCTACCCAATTATTCATACACCAAGCACATATTCATATCATTTCACATTAAACATTTTTTCTAAATTACCTTTAACACATTCAACGGCACTGGCACAGACATCAATCTGGCTATTTTCAACTTCAAATTTCATGCGTTCATACTCCCTCATCCGAGACAAGGCCTTGTCTAAGTGAATGACAGTATTACCTGTATTCATAAAAAACACAAGCTGCAGAAAGACAGATGGGGATTTTCTATTGCTGCAGACATTTGAAACAGTGACAGGAGACCAAGTTACAAAGAAATACATCAAATCTGAACACGGTAGAAGTGTGTATGTTGAAGTCATACGAACAGCTGTTGACAATAGAGACTAAAACGAACATTACACTGTATTGGGAAACTGCACTTTAACCACAAATTCAAAATTTATATTAAAAAGTCATTTAACAATCATTTTTCAAAAATTATGAGCATATTACAACACAGTCCAGTGTGGCATGAAGTAATTTGATAAATGCAGGAAATTTAAACCTTATTTCATTACATTTATTAAAGGCTAATGTCCAATTTAAAATTTATTTAACCAATAATGTATATGAAATCTTACCAAGATCATCATTAGCAAAGGGTTCTAAATTGGAAGAAGTAGACAACATGCTGGCATTTTCTAAGGATTCTATATACTCTGCATCCTCATGCTGCTGAAGATCTATCTTGGCTTGATGGTCAGCAGTTTTTCCACAGGCGTCCTATAAATGTATTACGGGAAAATAGGACTCAGCTGCAGGCATTGTGCAATAACTGTCATCTGTAACATTTGAGGAGCACGGTGATTCTTCCGACAGACTAATCAATACTTATCCTTCAAATAATTTCACTAAAACAGATTATCTGACCCTTTATTATATCATTTCAGTTCTGGTCACCTCATTATAGGAAAGATGTGGAAGCTTTAGAGAGGGTGCAGAGGAGATTTACCAGGATGCTGCCTGGATTGGAGGGCAGGTCTTATGAGGAAAGGTTGAGGAAGCTAGGGTTTTTTTCATTGGAGCGAAGAAGGATGAGAGGTGACTTGATAGAGGCTTACAAGACGATAAGAGGCATAGATAGAGTGGACAGTCAGAGACTTTTTTCCAGGGTGGAAATGACTATTACGAGGGGGCATAATTTTAAGGTGATTGGAGGAAGGTATAGGGAGATGTCTGAGGTAGGTTCTTCACACAGAGAGTGGTGGGCATGTGGAATGTGCTGCCGGCAGTGGTAGTGGAGTCAGATACTTTAGAGACTTTTAAGCGACTCTTGGATAGGCACATGGAGGACAGTAAAATGTAGGGCATGCAGGGTAGATTGATCTTAGTAGGATAATAGGTCGGCACAACATCGTGGGCCGAAGGGCCTGTACTGTGCTGTACTGTTCTATGTTCTTTTTTAACCTGCAATGCACAATTCGGCCAGTGTACTCAGCTTCATAAAGCAAATAAACTTCAAAAGCAGTTCACTGGCTGCAAAACATTAATATACTTAGGTCACGGAGGGGACCTAATGAATGCAAACCTGTTTGTTCTCTCCCCTTTCCCAAATGTCCTTTTGCACTCTCAACCAGATCCCAAAGTCAGTCTCTTTTTCTTAAATTCCAATTTCCACTTCAACAGGATCTCTTCTCACTCCTTCCCATGTGCCTCGGTACTCTGCAAGCCATGAAGTGCAGATAACGTTGCCAAACTTTCAGCAAAAACGAACCTAAATCACACCAAAAAGCTAGCTGTTTCAAAATCTTTCTTTCTGCTCTTCGACTGACTACTCAAATAGGCACTCCAATCTAATACTTCACACTTACTAGCCCCCTTTACATTCATTTGCCGCTTTAACTGTGCCTCGGTTTCCCACATGTTCTTCTGCTCATCTGTAGATTTGTCCTTTTCCTTATTACTTTCATGTCATTGGTTCCTTAATTGCTGGTTTTTGCTTTTTTCACTTGTTGAAATTTCAATTTTACTCCTTACTTTTAATTGTACATTCTTGGTTGCCTTTCATCTTTTCAGTAACGTTTGAATGCTCAAGTAGTCTGTGCCGTCATAGCTCCAGAAGGGCTAACTCAAAAGTCACAAATAATATTGACTGTGACTGTGTCCATGGCAAACTATCCTTCCTCCTCCTTCTTGCCATGTTGTATGATAAAAGAGCATACGGTATATATCATGAGGATTACTTTGTTATCGTTGGGCCTTGAGATTATAAAGATCTGTGGTTTTCAGCTGCAGATGAGCTGAGACACAGTTGGAAAATAGCAAAGCTACAAAGATTAAAGTAGGGCATTTTGATGATATGATGCTATGTGGTAGGAAGCTGCAATATTGTGAAACTGGTTGAAACCTGGTTTAAGATTACAAGGTGTAGAGCTGGATGAACACAGCAGGCCAAGCAGCATCAGAGGAGCAGGAAAGCTGACGTTTCAAGCCTAGACCCTTCTTCAGAAAAAATGAAACCTGGTTTTGCTGGTTATGTTCAGGTTTTATGTAGATTTACATTGCTTTGGTTTCTTTTCTCTTCTGTGAATAAACTGCTTTTTTTTGTTCAAAAACATTGACAGCCAAATTTAAATATATTCTGTGGTTGTCTGGGATCTTATTTGTCCAGTATTAGCACCAGCTAGAATCATGAGAGTTGTCTTTGACATGACTGTCACAAAATGGTTCCAGTCTTGTCTGCCTAGTTATAGACAGCGGATAACTTGCAATGGCTTCTCTTTTTATTTTCACAACATTTTCTTGGCTCCTCTTGTACTTCTCATTTATATACAGCCTCAAGTGAAAAACAAGAATACATCAAATTTCACATAAATGCTGAAAATATCCAACTCTAACTCACTACCACTTCCCTTGAACCTTTCGGAGTCCCCGATTTGTCATACTACCTTTGCAACAACTAGTGTTGAATGCACACCAAAATATTATGCAAATTATATTTCTTAGCCACTCCTCTTGATCACCATTGCCCAAGGTAGAACCAGAGTATTCACAACATTGCAGCTTCCGACCATGTCTACATGTCATCAAAACCACCTATTTCGAACTCCAACATTGCTAGTCTCCAACCCTGTCTCGGCTCACCTGCAGTTGAAAATCTTAACCATATGTAACCTCAAGCCTCAACTATCACAAAGTACTCCTGACAAGCGGGACTCATTTCCAAAATTACAGAAAATTCCAGAAATACTCCCAAACTCTGCTGCCCATTAACTCAATTACATTAAATCTCATTCACTGATTCATTATCAATTATTTGATTTAAAAAAATTTTCATCTCCGTTTCAAAATCCCTCCATGGTTTCATGCTCCCATCTGTTAAGCTTCCTCCATCCCAAAAACATTTTGAGATTGCTCCAACTTGCACACGCCATCTCTAAGAGCTCCACCATTTAAACTCTGGACTTTTCTTTGTGAAGCCCCCTTTCCATCTCCAACATACTTTCCTTTTTGAAGTTGTTTACTGGAATTTACCTCTGTCCAAATAACTCTTCTTGTAGTTCTTAAGGCTAAACGGATCAAATGGTATAGGGAGAAAGTGAGACCAGGGCACTGAGCGGAATGTTCATATTAAATGGCGGAGCAAGGTTGAAGGGCCAAATGGCCTACACCTGCTCCTATTTTCTAGGTTTCTATGTAGTATGTCAAATCAGGTGTCACATTTCACTTCACAACACTTCCATTAAGTGCCTTGAGCCACTTTACTAAATGGAAGGTACTGGATACTCCAAGTAGTTGTATTTTTCTTATCCTTTTCATTTTTCTCACTCTCCTTTTCTTCATACCTTCTCTACTTGTTTTTAAACCAGAGATATTTTTCTTACCTCACTTTCTTCAATCTTTTTCTGCTATGAAGCAGCTGCTGCACACTTATCCTAGGAAGTAGCTAGCTAAAGATGCTACCTGAGAGCAAATAAAGAATCACAATGTTCGAGCCAAAATTCTGACTTTGTTTTAAATGGGTTTTTGTTCTGTTGTTACCATCTCCTAAAAATGTAATTGCTTTGCAACTAGTTAGAGGTCAAAAATAATTGTAGCAAGTAGGCAGAATTCCTGCAATATTTTCATCAATCCGCAATTGTTACAGCGCAGAAGGACATTGAACCCATCGTTTGTGCAACAGCTCTATGAATGAGATCCCCATCTTTTCCCCCATTCTCCTGCATTCTCCCTACGACCCTGCACATTGTTGCTTTCAAATGCAACAATCAACTTCCTTTTGATTGTTCACATTTGGGCAGTGTATTTGTCCACATTTTAGGATTATATAAAATATACAGAACAGAAACAGGGTAGATCCATTTGCACCTGTTTCCAACTTTCCTTCCATGAATCTATCATCGCAACCCTATATTCCCTTCTTCTTCATACATTTGCCCACCTTCTCCTTATATGTATCTATCCTAACTGATTCATCGACCTCCTGTGGCAGCAGATTCGACTCACTTTATGCTCTTGACCTAAAGAAGCTTTCTGCAGTACATTTGTCAGAAATCTGATGTCAATAGCCATATAAGGCAAATGCAAAATAATTAATAAGTTTTCAGACACAGCTCATTTTAGTGAAGTGGCAAGTATACTGTTTGTTTGTCACCAGCTGTGCATATCAGGATCCAGGAGCAGTAATGTATTCCTGAAGTTATTATCAAGATAACTCACACTGCAGATTGACTCATACAATATCGGCAATTAAAATACATGAAATTCTTGGAAAGATGACATATCAGTACCAACAGTAAAAACACATCAACGCATTCAGATTTTGATTACTTTACCGCAACACAGGATTGAAAAATCTTAGAATATTCACTAAGTATCTCATAAAAATACTCACCTCATCATCACTTGTAGCCAGGCTTTCACTAGGAGTAAGTTCTGAATTACATGTCATCCATACAGCCGAGTTCTGTGATAAAGTGTGCTCCCCTTCTTTATAGCTCTTATCTGAAAGATGTCTTGTAACTATATCCTGGATGGGAAAACAACTTATTTCTTTTACAAAGAGGATAAAGTACCACATTCTTGATATATTTAAACTATTTAAACAGCCAGTACCTGTAAAGCATAAAGAGCTCGCTGTCGTAGGTAGTCTGTGTTAAGCAACTGAAGCTCATGGAAAAGTTCAATCAGAAAATGGGGTCGTGATTCATTCTGGGATATTAAAGTTGCCACTTCAGAATAGATATTATCACGTAGAGCTTCAAAGAGTGAGAAGTCACTACCAGTTTCTGTAATAAAGAAAGAAGAATTTAAATAACTTAGCAGCAAACAACAGTATCTCCGCCTGGGCACAAAGCCTTCAGGATTCAATATGGCATGCAACAAATTTAGGGTCTGAATACCTTCATCTATGCCCGTCACTCACCCCAACAGCCCTGACCGTCCTGACATGGGCTGCTTTCATCACAGCCAAACTGTTTTCACCTACTAATGGTCACCAATATCAGCTTTTCTTTCTCCCTAGCTCACCATTATCCATTCCTTTATCCGAGAACTGCCATTCTCTCTCTCTCCACCTATGCATTCACTCCCTACACCCCTCCCCCCATCCCCCCTTCCATCTCCATCTTCCCCACCCCTAAACCATCAGCATATGTTGCACCTTTTTTAAGCTATCAATTCTGAAGAAGGTTTACTGGATGTGAAACAATATTAACTCTGCTTTCTCTCCACAGATTTTGTCTGAAAGAAGAACAGGACTGGCAGCTAAATGTCCCAGGACTTAGAAGTTTCAGACGTCATAGAAAGGAATGTAAAAGGGGTGGGGGAGTTGCGTTATTGGTAAAGGAGTATCTCACAGCTGTACTGAGGGAGAACAGATCAGAGGACCTGAGCAGCGAGGCAATATGGCTAAAACTCAGGAATAGGAAAGGTGAAATCACAATGCTGGGGGGTATATAATACAGGCCTCCCAACAGCCAGTAAGAGATAGAGAAAAGAACATGTACACAGATTTTGGAAAGGTGTAAAATCAGCAGGGCTGTTATGGTTGATGATTTTAACTTCCCCTATATTGACTGGGACTCATTTCGTCCTGGGCAGTTGGATGGGGCAACATTTGCAAGAACAATTCAAGAGCATTTCTTGAAACAGAATGTTATCAGTCCAACCAGGGAAGGGGTTATACTGGACCTGGATTTTTGGAAATTAGCCCAGCCAGGTGAGTAAAGTTTCATGGAGGAGTTTTTCGGAAGTAGTGACCACAATACCATGAGTTTTAAGATACTCATGGATAGGGATAACAGCAGTCCTCGGGTGAAGGTGTTAAACTGGGGGAAAGTGAACTACAACAATACTAGGCAGGAAGTGGAGAATGGTGGTTGCAGGTGGCTGTTTGAGGGTAATTCAACATCGGACATGTGAGAGTATTTCAAAGGCAGCTGATAAGAGTTTAGGAGCGGCATATTCCTGCCAGAATGAAGAATATGGCAATTTACATGAACCTTGGATGTTATGACCTTGGTCAAAAACAAAAGGGATGCGTACGTATGGTCTAGGAGGATGGGAACTAATGAAGCCCTTGAAGTGTATAAGGGAAGTAAGAAAGAACTTAAACAAGGAATTGGAAAGGCTAAAGGAAGTTGTTAGCAAACAGGATCAAGGAGAATCCCAAGGCTTTTTATATATACATAAAAAGGAAGAGGGTAGCCAGGAAACAGTTGGCCTAAATCAAGGACAAAAGGAGGGAATCTGTGTGTGGAGCAGAAGAGGTAGGTGAAATCCTAAACGAATACTGTAATCACCAAAGAGAAGGAATTGGTGGAGGATGATCTCAGAGAAAGGGTGTCGAATCTCTAAGCCAAGTTGCTATTAAGGAAGAGATGTTGTGCATCTTAAAAAAAAATTAAGGTAGGTAAGTCCCTGGGTCCTGATGGGCTCTATCCCAGAATATTGAGAAAGACAAGAGAACAAATTGCTGGAGGATTGACAGACATCTTTGTATCTTCTTTAACACATGCAAGGAGGACTGGATAATAGCCAACGTTGTCCCATTGTTTAAGAAGAGTAACAGGGATAATCCTGGAAATTACAGGCCTGTAAGCCTCACACTGGTGATAGGGAAATTATTGGAAAATATTCTCAGGGTCAAGACCTATACACATTCAGAAGCAAATGGACTTATTAGCGAAAGACAGGATGGTTTTGTGCGGGGATCACGGGGGGGGGGGGTTCTGCCTCGCTAACTTGATTACATTTTTTGAGGAGGTGACAATGATGATTGATGAGTGGAAAGTGGTTGATCTTGTCTACATGGACTTCAGTAAAGCCATTGAAAAAGGTGAAGTCAAGTGGTATCAGGGATCATTGCTGGGATCTCTGCTGTTCTTGGTCTACATAAACAATTTGCAGGAAAATGTAGCTGGTCTAATTAGTACGTTTGCGGACGATACAAAGATTGGCGCTGTTGCGGATAGTGAAGAGGACTGTCAGAGGATACAGCAGGATATAGATCAGCTGGAAGCATGGGCAGAAAAATGCCAGATGGAGTTTAATCTGGGCAAATGTGAGGTGTTGCATTTTGGAAGATCAAGTACAGGTGGAAATTCTCCAATGAATGGCAGAATCCTTAGGAGTATTGATATGTAGAGGGATCTGGGTGTGCAGGTCCACACATCATTGAAGGCAGCAGCGCAGGTAGATAAGGTTGTAAAAAAAAGCCTCTGGTACGCCTGTATTCGTCGGAAGGGACAGTGAGTATAAGGACAGGCAAGTTATACTGCAGTTTTATAGAACTTTAGTTAGGTCTCACTTGGAATATCATGTACAGTTTTGGTCACCACACTGCCAGAAGGATGTGGATGCTTTGGAGATGGTACAGAAAAGGTTTACCAGGCTGTTGTTTGGTACGGGGGATTTTAGCCATGAGAAAGGTTGGGCAGACTGGGTTTATTTTCTTTGGAATGCAGGAGGTTGAAGGGCAACCTGGCAGAAGTTTAAAAGATTGTGATTGGCATGGATAGAGTGGAAAGTATGAGGTTTTTTCCCAGGGTGTAGTAGTCAATTACTAAGGGACACAGGTCCCAGGTGCAATGTGTGCGTTTGGGGAGATGGTGGTGTTTAAAAGACATGTGCGAGGCAATTTTTTCACACAGAGGGTGGTGACTATGTTGCCAGAGGTGGTGTTGGAAGCAGACATACTAGCAGCATTCAAGAAACACCTGAACGAATACACGAACAGGGAGGGAATAGAGGGATACAGATCCTGTAAGTGAAGACAGTTTTAGTATGGAAGGGCAAAATGTGTCAGCACAGGCTTGGAGAGTCAAAGGACCTGTTCCTGTGCTGTACTGTCCTTTGTTCAGATGCTGCCAAAACTGCTGAGTTTCTCCAGCAATGTTTTTATTTCATATCTCCAGCATCCATTTTTTTCTTTTTAAATGTTTAAAAGCTGATCATGAAATACTGATCTTAACTTTCTAGACCAGTTAACTTTTTCATTCAAACATAGAAAAATATAAAGTAAGCATCTTTAATTAGCTTTCATATTTCAGTAGCTATGACCAATGAATTACTTCAGATCAAAAGGTTTGTATCCAGAAAAATGCTCCATTTTACCCTCCAAAACGCATGATCTCCAATAACTGGGTGAACAACTGAGGGACACAGAAACATAACCTCCTCCAAGCTGCATCGTTCTTCCAAGACAACATGCCCTTTAAGGTTACCAGCTGCATGGCCACACAACCACTCAAAATTTCCACATAGGTTACACACTGTAGGACCCTTTTAAGTTACCACACATGAGCTAACTCCAATTCTGGCCTTTTGAGCAGCCTTGATTTTAATTGCTCTATTTCCTTCAGCTATTTGCTTAAAAGTAATAGCAGTACTTTACCTGGTGCTTCATTGAATCTATTTCTGTTAGATTCCAACAATGCTCCCTTAGTGTATTCTGTAGGGAAGGGAGACAGAGACAGATAGTAGTTGCACTCAACACTGCATGCACTGCATTGCAATTAGTATTGTAGGAAAGAGATTGCACGTGGGAAATTAAGCCACATCTTTAAAAAGTGCAAATGAAGGTCTTTTTAAACAATAATACAGTAGAAGCAAAATCACGTGAGGTTGACAATGGCTTTTACACATTCATTAATATTTTGAGAAATGTTCACTGCAAAGTGAACACGTTTATGTAAGTATATCATTGAAAATATAAAAATAGATTCAGTAAGAAAAATAATGGAACAGTTTTCTAATAACACAATGAGCAGGTTAGGTCTAACTTTGAATATATCAACAATTTAGTAAGGTTTAAATTTGTCAAAATAACACTAAATCTGTGATAACTGATGGCATGAACAGCAACAAGCAATAAGTTACTATTCCACGTTGGAATGCAGAATCAAATATTTTTCTTCAACAAAATATAGTATCTTTATTCAGATTGTCTAGTCAACCGAAGCCAAGAACAGGCAATAACCAACTTACAAATAATAAGACATGATAGTCTTAACCTATGACATCTAGCAGTGAATAACACACAATACCTTCCAAAGATCAAGTTCTTGAAATGGAGAACTCAATTTTCAATTTGCAACAAAATAAGAACAAACTAATATCAATGTTCTATCACATGATTCATACCAGAAGAGAAGTCACTTGATTTTTTTCGTTTGGACTTTTCCTGTAATTCATCTTTGGTTGTGCTGCAAGTTCGAGGTTTCAAAAATTCTTCTGTTTGTGTAGAGTGGCACACTTTTTCTTGACAAGTTTCACTAGCACTAGTATTACTTGCAGATTCAAAACCTACAAAAAAGTGCTTGAACTTAGTAGCAAACTTAGAAAAAGTCATTAAATGTATAAATATTTTCTGAATTTTAGTGTTGCAATATTTAAGTAGAATTGGGGGTAATTAATCAACCATTTTAAAATGTATCTGGAAAAATTTGGATTATTTGAGAAATCTTTTCTGGTCGATGTTACTGACATATCAGGTTCCTACAATAATATCTTTACAGTATGGCAGGAATTTTGCCTGCAAAACATTTAATACTGCTGTCAATATCATTTATCATAAATAAAAGATCCAATTAAATTGATGTTCAAAAACTGAACGACAAATTGCAAAATATCAGTACAAAAATATTTGGTGCAGTGTGTTGCCAGCAACAGTTTTTGCTGTTACATGTGATTGTGACCAATGCACCACAATGATGAGAAAATTGCTATATACTATAGTATAGCAATTATCATCTCAGAGTCAGATAGACTACCACGTCAATTTTATACAAAAGGATCAATTAAATATACACTTCAGAGAACAGGGTTTGGACTTTACGATAAAAAACGTGATCTCACGTTGGTGGTAGGGAAATTATTGGAAAAGATTTTCAGGGACAAGGTCTATACACATTTAGAAGCAAATGGAGTCATTAGCGATAGACAGGATGGTTTTGTGCAGGGGAGGTTGTGCCTCACTAACTTGATTGAAATTTGTGAGGGGGTGAAGAAGATGATTGATGAGCGAAAAGTGGTTGATAAAAACACTTCACCTGCACTTCCCAGAATCTAGTCTACTGAATCGCTGCTCACAATGTTCTCCTCTACACTGGGGAAACGGAGTGTAGACTGGGTGACCGCTTCGCAGAATATCTGCTTTTTGCTTGCAAAAAAGACCCTGAACTACCTGTTGCCTGCCACTTTAATGCACCACCCTGATCCCTGGCCAACGTCTCTGTCTCTGGCATGCTGCAGCGTTCCAGCGAAGCTCAACGCAAGCTGTAAGAACAACACCTCATTTTCCGCTTGGGGACCCTGCAGCCCTCTGGACTCAATATCAAGTTCAATAATTTTAGGGCCTAAACTCTCCCATGTCCCAGCCCCTTGCCCCACACACCAGGCCTTGTTATCACATAGCCTGCAAGTACACTACTTGTTGTTAGTCACTAATAGTCCCCATTAACAACTATTCACCCTCTGAACCTGATCATTAGCAACTCCTTTGCCTATTCAACTGTTCTTCTCTCTCTTTAGGCTCTGTCCTATTGTTTACTCCCTACCCCACCCCCTTCCCTATTTTCTACATATAAAAACTGACATTTTCCCAGCCACCATCAGTTCTGAGGAAGGGTCACCGGACCTGAAACGTTAACTCTGTTTTTTCCCTTCACAGATGCTGCCAGAGCTGCTGAGCTTTTCCAGCAACATTGTTTTTGAATAGTGGTTGATGTTGTCTACATGGACATCAGTAAAACCAGAAAAAGACAAGGTTCCTCATGGCTGACTGGTAAAAAAGGTGAAGTCACATGGAATCAGGCATAAGCTGGCATGATGGATAGAGAAATCATTTTTCAGAAGTGACCTTTGGGATTGTTATTGATTGAGCAAAAAAAAAACACATATTAAATGCAGAAGCACAAAGTCTATTGAAAGCAACTTTACTCCTAAATTATGGGATCATCAAATTCATCCAATTACAGTGGTCACAAATTTAAACCTCCTATTAGAAAATAAGAAGCTTTAAAATCTAAGTATCAATCAATTTGTTAATACTAGGAAAGCTTTCTCCCTGTAGCAAATAATTAACACCATTGCAAGAGTCAAACCTTTGTTCCAATTTGCTGTACTTAAGTCATTAAAAATTGGTTCATTTATCAGAATGGTGGAGTTTTTGTTGGTCTAAAATTCTGCCATCTATATTAAGGGCCGGGCAGTTTCAGAAATTGCAAAGTAGTAATCAGGTACACACAAACTATTCTGATTTGAAAAGGCAAAAACATAAAAACATTTATTAAAAAAATAGCTTAAACCAAACTCCACAGAAAGAAGCAGAAGAACATCATCGCCCACCCTAGGTCTGTTGTTTTAATATATTCAGAAGTTCCAACTTTCCAAAGTCTGGACTTCAAATTATGTTCTTATTAATTTGTGATTTTTTTTTCCAAATGTATCATACAGTATCACTGAATCTACAATAGTCAATCAAATTGTTGTCAAAAATAATTAAGGTACTCAAACAGACAAGAGCTCAAGTCATACCTGCAGTCATTTCCTGCTGGTTTTTCTGGTGAAAGTAAGTCTTTTTACATTTCCCCTTTGGAGTTTTATCCTTGGAAGCGAGGCTAGCCTGTGCACAGGCTTTCCTAGATTTAAATGTTTTCGTTACAGTAGTGGGATCAACTGGATCTGGCATACTACTAAAACTTTCGAGGGATGATTCTTCAAAATTCTTCCTATTTTTGCACTGAACTTGTTGCTTTGGTTTGTTCATATTCATCTGTGGAAGAGATGTGTTTGGTTGCATTTGTCTTGGTAATTCCCCAAATTCATCTCTTGTATCATGCAACCACATTAATTCACTCTGCTCTGCCTCATCTTTAGCCCGTTTGTGGATCCTTTATATAAAAAAGATAGCTATATCAGTATGGCTTGCACGTGCATTTATGTATACAAGTCATTCATAAGGTTGCTGGCTAGGCCAACATTTACAAATTATACTAATTTAAGAAGAGAAATATTATGAAACACTACACTAGTTTAAAACAACACTAAGGCAATTTTCACAACTGAGGCAGAACAAAGTGCAAACATAGTCAAGGAATGCCAAAAACATTTTCTGGCATTTTGTTACACGTTGAGCTTTTTGATGTACATGAACTATATAAGCCAAGATACTGAAAATCAGAAACAAAAATACAAATTGCTGGAAAAAAAACTCAGCAGTTCTGGCAGCATCTGCTTTGGGTCCAGTGACCATTCTTTAGAATTGAAGTGTCACTGAATCTAAAACATTAACTCCAACTATAAGAATCATATCTTTTAAAACAGTGGGTTGACTAATATTCAGTTTATTTGCCACAAAAAGTAAACAACGAGCCAACTGTTGAATCAACATACAATCAATCATCAGCTCCAACCAAAATAATTAAAGCTCTTTGGAGTTCAGTTACGAGGAGTGTGTAGTAACACAAAAACAGATTTATAGGATTAGTGATAAATCTTGTTCATATCGCATATATTCCAGAAATGTACCAAAGCAGAATCACTTCTGGAGAGATGAGGCTCCTGTAGAAGAGTCCTGCATTGTCGCCACGATAAATTTACTAAAGCCATCATGTGCCATAGTCAAATTTGGCCTTCGATACTCAATAAACAAATCAAAAATTACTCGTGACAACGAAATGAATACCCAAATAACAACTTGGAACAAAATCATTCCATTATTAATGGAAAATGAGTTCAAATTATACCAGAGCAGTCTAAGAATTCAAATTCAATTCAAAATATACCTCGAAATAAACTGCATTAAACTGAATGGGCACGATCAATGGAATTGTCAAACAGCCACTAATTCACAAAAGAAGAAAAATGAATATCCTTCTCTTAGACTGGCCGATGTACAGTTCTAGTTCAACGGTGATTTGTTTAAATCTTAAATGTCCACAGTTGTCACATCAGCAGTCAGAGAGGATATACTGGAGGGTTCAACCACTGAGGCAATATGGATAGAGCTCAAAAATAAGTTGGGCACAATCACTCTGATAGGATTATATTGCAGGACCGCCCAACAGCCACCAAGACACTGAGGAACAAATATGTACGCAGATTATGCAAAGATGCAATAACCACAGGGTTGTCATCATAGTTGACTTTAACTTCCCCAATATTGATTGGGACTACCTCAGGATCAACAGACTTAGATGGGGCAGAATTTGATAAAGGCAGCCAAGAGGGTTTCTTGAAACAGTATGTGGATAGTCCAACTAGAGGAGGGGCCACAGTGGACTTTGTATCGGCTAATGAGCCTAGCCAGGTGACTGAGCTTTCAGTGGGAGAGCATTTTGGAAACAGTGACCAAAACTCCTTAAGTTTTAAGATAGCTATGAATAAGGATAAGTCAGGACCTTGCAGGAAAATACAAATTGGGAGGGGGCAAATGACGTCACTATTAGGCAAGAGCTAGGGAGTGTTAATTTGAGGGAGCTGTTGTCAGGCAAGTCCACATTTGACGTGTGAGAGTTGTTTAAAGACCTGCGAGAGTTGTTTAAAGACCTGCTGATCAGAGTTCAGGACTGACACATGCCAATAAGGAAGAAGGACAAGGATGGCAAGGTAAGGGACCCTTGGATAATGAGGGAGGTTGTGAATTTAGTCAAAAGGAAAAAAGAAGCATGTGTAAGGTTTGGGAAGCTAAAACTGGACAGGGCCCGTGAGGAACATAAAGAAAACAGCAAAGTACCCAAGCAGGGAATAAGGACAGCAAGGGGCCATGAAATGGCCTTGGCAAGTAGGGTTAAAGAGAATGACAAGGCATTCTACATATACATTAAAAATAAGAGGATAACTAAGGAGAAGGTAGGACCACTCAAGGATAAAGGAGGGAACTTGTTCTTGGAGATAGAGGGTATAGGCGAGGTCCTAAAGAGTACTTTGCATTGGTATTCATTCAGGAGAAGGATATCCATCGAGGATAGCGAGATTAGTGTGAAGCATGCAAATATACGAGGGCATTTTGAAATCAAGAAAGAAGTGGTGTTGGGTCTCTTAAGAGCACGAAGGTGGTTAAATCCCTAAGGCCCGATGGTATCTACCCCAGGTCATTGAGAGAGGCAAGACAGGAGATTTCTGGGGCCTTGATCAAGATCTTTGTATTGTCACTAAACACTATAGAGGTCCAGGAGGACTGGCGAGTAGCTAATGTTGTTCTTCTGTTGAAGGCAAATAGGGATAATCCAGGAGACTATGGACCATTGAGTCTCACATTTGTGGTCGGGAAGCTATCAGAGGGAATTCTTAGGATTCATGCACATTTGGAAAAGCATGGCCTAATTAGGGGCAGTCAGCATGGCTTTGTGCAGGGCAGGTCATGTTTTATTAGCTTGATTAAATTTTTTAAGGAAATGACAAACGTGATCAAAGAGGGTAGAGCACTGGATATTGTCTATATGGATTTTAATAATGCTTTCAATAAAGGTCCCTCACAGAAGGCTCATCCAGTAGATTAAGATGCATGGGATCCACAGTGACTTGGTTGCTTGGATTCAAAATTGGCCTATCCATAGAAGGCAGAGGGTAGTTGTGGAAGGGTGTTTTTCAGGCTGGAAGTCTGTGACAAATTGTGTTCCACCGGGCTCTGTACAGGGACTTCTGGTGTTTGTGATATATTAAATGACTTGGATGAAAGTGCAGATGGGTGGGTTAGTAAGTTTGCAGACGCTACAAAGATCAGTGGAGTTGTGCCGAGTGTAGAAGGTTGTCAAAAGATACGGCAGGATGTAGATCAGTTGCAGATATGGGCCGGAGAAATGGCACATGGGGTTTAATCCGGCTAAGTGTGAGGTGTTGCGCTTTGGGAGATTTAATGCTAAGGAAACATATACAGTTATTGGCAGGACCCTGGACAGCATTGATGTACAGAGGGATCTTGGGGTTCCAGTCCATAGCTCCCTGAAACTGGCCAAGCAGAGAGAGGGTGGTGAAGGCGGCGAATGGCATGTGTGCCTTTAGTGGTCAGGGAATTGAGTACAAGAGTCAGGATGTCATGTTGCAGCTTTATAAGACTTTGGTTAGGCCACATTTAGAGTATTGCATTCATCTGGTTGCCACATTACAAGAGGACTGAGGAAGCTTTGGAGGGTGCAGAAGAGATTTATAAGGAAGCTGCCTGAATTAGAGGGTATGAGCGATAAGGAAAGGACAGAAAAACTCGTGTTGTTTTCTCCATAGCATCACAGGCTGAGGGGAGACTTGACAGAAATCTATAAAATTATGAAATGCATAGATAGAATTGACAATCAGAAACTTTTTCGCAGAGTTGAAAGGTTTAATACTAGGGGACATGCATTTAAGGTGAGAGGGGGAAGTTCAAAGGAGCCGTGAGGGGCAGGTTATTTTGCAGTGTGGTAGGAGCCTGGAACATGCTGCCAGGGATGGTAGTGGAAGTAGATGAGATAGAGGCGTTTAAGGGACTTTCAGATAAGCACATGAATATGCAAAGAATGGAGGGATATGGACCAAAGGCAGGCAGTAGGGATTAGTTTAATTTGGCATCATGTTTGGCACAACATTGTGAGCTGAACGGCCTGTTCCGGTGCTGCACTGTTCTATGTTCTATGAAGTTTAATGGACCCGTGGGCAGTACGCGAATGACAATTGGTTCTCACTTGGTGATAACACAGTATGGAGCTGGAAGAACACAGCAGGCCAGGCAGCATCAGAGGAGCAGGAAAGTTGACATTTCGGGTCGGGACCCTTCTTCAGAAATCTCAACTCGAAACGTCAACTTTCCTGCTCCTCTGATGTTGCCTGGCCTGCTGTGTTCTTCCAGCTCCATACTGTGTTACCTCTGACTCCAGCATCTGCAGTTCTTGCTATCTCTGGTTCTCACTTGAACTCTGCCAGACTATCCAGATTTTATTCATATAGGGAATGTCAAGAAGGGATCAAAAAGGTAATCAGTCCATGAGCAAAGAAAATTACTCTATTGAAAGTAAAGGTAGGGGAAGTCATCAAAAACTGTGAACAATTGGAGAGATGGGTGGAACAACTTTTCAGTTGTTTCAGCGACGGGAGTCCGGGAGAAAACACGAGGGCAGCCTGGGAAGGTAAGCTTTTCGATTAAAGAAGTCTTACCTCGCGTGACTGCGGCCTTTCAGTTGTTTCAGCAGCGGGAGTCCGGGAGAAAGCGCGACGGCAGCCTGGGAAGGTAAGCTTCCACCCAATAAATTTGGGAGTTAACTAATACCCGAGACACTACACGCATAGTGTCTCCCATCCTTCCACCTCCTCTAACCTAATAATAACGACTAAGTGTGGTGAGCAGGTAAGCTATTTGCATTTTTTTTTCCTCATCTCTTTGTTATCTTTCGGGTGGTCACCTAGACGCCAAATCCTCTGGGAGCGGGTCGGAAGGCAAAGCCGGAGTCTGTTTGAGTATATAACAGAGTAAACTTACTGGTGCAGAGAACACTGCGAAACTAAAAAAAAGCTAATTAATTTTAAATAATTAACTAAGTAGAGATGATGTGTTGTAGCTGAATGATGTGGGAGCTAGCTGATCCCATTGAGAACGGCAGTGACCACATCTGCAGCAAGTGTTGGCTGCTTGAGCAGCTCCGGCTCAAAATTGATGAGCTGGAATCCGAACTCCAAACACTGCGGCATATCCGGGAGGGGGAAGAAATACCTGGATACTGTGTTCCAGGACGCAGTCACACCTGGTAAATTAACTAATGTTAATTCGATCGGCGGGCAGGGACAGCAGTGTGTGACTGCGAGTGAGGCAGGTAGAGGGACCCTACCGACAGGAACACAGGAGCCACAGCCCTTGACATTGTCCCACAGGTATGAGGCATTTGCTCCCTGCATGGAAGAGGAACAGGGCTGCAGGAAGGATGAGTCAACTGACCATCGCACCATGGTCCAGGAGGCCATTCAAGAGGGGGGAGCAAAAAGACAGATTGTAGTTGTAGGGGATTCCATCATCAGGGCAATAGACAGTATCCTTTGCCAGCAGGATAGGGAATCCCGCATGGTGTGTTGTCTGCCGAGTGCCAGGGTGCGAGACATCTCTGACCGGCTTGAGAGGATACTAGAGAGGGAGGGGGAGGATCCAGTTGTTGTGGTCCACGTAGGTACCAACAACATAGGCAGGACTAGGAAAAAAGACCTGTTTCAGGATTATGAAAAGCTAGGAACAAAATTAAAAAAAACAGGTCTTCAAGGGTCATAATCTCTGGATTGCTGACCGAGCCACGTGCAAATTGGCATAGGGAGGCGAGGATCAGGGAAGTAAACACGTGGCTAAAAGAGTGGTGTGGGAAAGAGGGTTTCCTTTTCATGGGACACTGGCATCAGTTCTGGGACAGGAGAGATCTATACCGCTGGGCTGGACTCCACCTGAACAGGGCCGGGTCCAGAGTTCTGGCGAAAAGGGTAAATAGGGTGGTTAACAGGACTTTAAACTAGTAAGTGGGGGGGAAGGGAGAAGTGAGCGTAGAGGGAGAATAACAATTAATGTAAGGCAAAGCAGCAGGTTAGCAGGTGACGAGGAAGCTTCAACTCCATTGAAAATTAGGAAAAAAGTTAAAGGGAAGGAGAACTCAAGAGCTGTTAGCAATGGAGGTAATAGAACCCAAAAAGAAGGTGCAAAAACTGGCATAAGGGCACTTTATCTGAATGCTCAGAGCATTCGAAACAAGGTGGATGAGTTGACGGTGCAAATCATGGCAAATGGGTATGAGTTAGTGGCCATTACAGAGACATGGTTACAGGATGGTCATGACTGGGAGTTAAATATCCAGGGGTATCAAACTGTTCGGAAGGACAGACAGGAAGGTAAGGGAGGTGGTGTTGCTCTGATTTTTAAGGATGATATCAGGGCAGTAGTGAGAGATAATATAGGTTCTATTGAACAAAATGTTGAATCCATTTGGGTGGAAATTAGGAATAGCAGGGAGAAGAAGTCACTGATAGGTGTGATCTATAGGCCACCAAATAACGACATCATGGTGGAGCAGGCAATAAACATAGCTAATGCATGTAAAAATGGTACAGCAATATCATGGGGGATTTTAATCTACATGTCAATTGGTCAAACCAGGTCAGTCATGGCAGTCTTGAGGAGGGGTTCATAGAATGCATCCGCGATAATTTCCTTGAACCATATGTAATAGAACCTACAAGGGAGCACGCTATCCTAGATCTAGTCCTGTGTAAGAGACAGGAATAATTAATGATCTCACAGTTAGGGATCCTCTCGGAAGGAACGATCACAGTATGGTCGAATTTAAAATACAGATGGAGCGTGAGAAGGTTAAATCCAGTACCTATGTCCTGTGCTTAAACGAAAGAGACTATGAAGGAATGAGGAAGGAGTTAGCAAAGGTAGAATGGGAGCAAAAACTTTATGGTGGGTCAATTGAGGAACAGTGGAGGACTTTCAAAACTATTTTTCACAGTGCTCACCAGAAGTATATTCCAGTGATAAGGAAGAACTGTAGGAAACGAGAGAGCCAGCCATGGATGTTTAAGGAAATAAAGGAAAGTATCAGATTGAAAAAAAAACATACAAAAAAATAAAGAGTAGTGGGTAACTAGTAGACTGGGGAATCTTTAAAGGCCAACAGAAAGCCACAAAAAAAGTTATAAAGAAAAGTAAGATAGATTATGAGAGTAAACTAGCTCAGAATATAAAAACAGGCAGCAAAAGTTTCTATAAATATGTAAATCGTAGAAGAGTGGCGAAGGTAAACATTGGTCCTTTAGAGGATGAGAAGGCCAATTTAATAACTGGGAATGAGGACACTAAACAGTTATTTCGTGTCGGTCTTCACAGTGGAAGACACAAATAACATGCCGAAAACTAATAGCAACAAGGTTATAGCAGGTGAGGACACAGAAACTATCATCATCACTAAGGAGGCAGTGCTGGGCAAGCTAATGGGGCTAAAGGTAGACAAGTCTCCTGGCCCTGATGAAATGCATCCCAGGGTACTAAAAGAGGTGATGGGGGAAATAGCAAATGCACTGGTAATTATTTACCAAAATTCACTAGACTCTGGGATGGTTCCCGCAGATTGGAAAACAGCCAATGTGACGCCACTGTTTAAAAAAGGAAGTAGACAAAAAGCAGGTAACTATAGGCCAGTTAGCTTAACTTCGGTAGTGGGGAAAATGCTTGAATCTATCATTAAGGAAGAAGTAGCAAGACATCTGGAATAAATTGTCCCATTGGGAATACCCAGCATGGGTTCATGAAGGGTAGGTCATGTTTAACTAATTTGGTGGAATTCTTTGAGGACATTACTTGCATGGTGGACAATGGGGAACCTGTGGATGTGGTGTATCTGGATTTCCAGAATGCATCTGACAAGGTGCCACACCAAAGGCTGCTACATAAGGTAAAGTTGCACGGTATTACAGGTAATGTATTGGCATGGATAGAGGATTGGTTGACCAATAGAAAGCAAAGAGTAGGGGTAAATGGGTGTTTTTCTGGTTGGCGGTCAGTGGCTAGTGGTGTGCCTCAGGGATCAGTGTTGGGACTTCAATTGTTTACAATTTACATAGATGATTTGGAGTCGCGGACGAAGTGTGGTGTGTCAAAATTTGCAGATGACACTAAGGTGAGTGGTAGAGCAAAGTGTGCAGAAGACACTGAAAGTCTGCAGAGGGATATAGATAGTCTAAGTGAGTGGGCAAAGGTCTGGCAGATGGAGTACAATGTTGATAGGCGTGAGGTCATCCATTTTGGTAGGAATAACAGCAAAATGGACTATGTTTTAAATGGTAAAAAATTGCAGCAGGCTGCTGTGCAAAGGGACTTGGGTGTCCTTGTGCATGAATTGCTGAAGGTGAGATTGCAGGTGCAGCAGGTAATTAAAAAGGCAAATGGAATTTTGTCTGCCATTGCTAGAGGGATGGAGTTTAAAAACAGGGAGGCTATGCTGTAGCTGTATAGGCTCCTGGTGAGGCCACACCTGGAGTACTGTGTGCAGTTTTGGTCTCCTTACTTGAGAAGAGATATACTAGCACTGGAGGGGGTGCAGAGGAGATTCACTCGGTTGATTCCAGAATTGAGAGGGTTGGATTATGAGGAGAGACTGAGTAGACTGGGCTTATACTCATTGGAATTCAGAAGAATGAGGGGAGATCTTATAGAAACATATAAGATTATGAAGGGAATAGATAAGGTAGAGGCAGGGAGGTTGTTTCCACTAGCAGGTGAAACTAGGACTAGAGGGCATCACCTCAAAATAAAGGGAAGCAGATGTAGAACTGAGGTCAGGAGGAACTTCTTCACCCAAAGGGTTGTGAATCTGTGGAATTCCCTGCCCAGTGAAGTGGTTGAAGCTACCTCGCTGAATGTTTTTAAGGCAAGGCTAGATAAATTTTTGAACAGTAAAGGAATTAAGAGTTACAGTGAGCGGGCGTGTAAGTGGAGCTGAGTCTCAAAGATCAGCCATGATCTTATTAAATGGCAGGGCAGGCTCGCGGGGCCAGACGGCCTACTCCTGCTCCTAGTTCTTATGTTCTTATTACCTTGAGTTATAATCAATAGAGAACACTCATCAGGAAACTGTAAATAACATAATAAAAAAATCTTTCCACAAGGGCCAAAGCTTCAGAATACAACCTCTGTATTCCATTTTTCTTACATTCCCCACCCTTCGTTGGCTGTGTCTTGTTGGTCTTGCTGTCAGCTGAGTGCTTCATTTTTTTTCTATTTCACAGTTAACATTTACATCTGTTTCACAGAACCTTTACCAGCGTTATCACTGCCTTCATGTATTGCTCTGGGCACTCGAACAACCTATTTCACTTGCTCCTCCTCTCCCTTTGTCTACAGCATATTAAAACAAACAGTATTTTACAGCTCCTTCTAATTCCGATGAAGAGTCATAATAGACTGTAAGCATTAATTCTGTTTCTCTCTGCACAGATGCTGCTAGATCTGCTGGGTTTCTCCAATACTGTGTTTTTATTACCACTGTATACTTGGACTTCTTTAGGAACTCATGCCTAATCAAAACATTGGTAACTATTGCTCACATGGAGGAAATGTAACTACCCAATGTCACAAATTTTCTTAACATCTGTGAGCGATCTTAAACAAAAGTTCTGTTTCAGCATTTTAGTAAGCTCATGGCTAATTGCTTTCTTTGGAATGCTCTAATGAAGCACCACAGGACATGTGATGACTTTGTAGAAGTGTAAATACAAGTTTTGATGCTACCTGCTAATGGAGAGTTGAAAGGTTTGACATGAATGAAGATTTTCTCTCAGGGCTCATGGTTTTTGCAATCCTTTTAATCCCTCTCCTGAGGCTGCATTATATGCTACCACATCAATCTTCCTCAGCTTAGGTTATTAAATATTTTAAAACTGATTAAATAGGAATTTGACCTGACCATGCCATATCTCTGTTCATTCTTGGGGTTAATGTCTGAGTGATCAAATTTATAGGTCCCAGAACCTTGCAAAAAACTGGAAGGTTAAAGTGATGTCTTCCTCTTCACCATTTTTGAGCAAACACAGGTACTTTTCTCAAAATAAACTTTAATAATATATTGTTAATATACTGACTTAAAACTCCTAGTTTGAAACTGGTCATCTCAGAAATAAGGGAGACAAAACCACTAAGAGAAAGCAGTAAGACCCATTGCACGCTGTAAATTTGGTACATACCATTTGTTCTCTCTGTACTTTGGAGAATTACTTTCAAATGGCTTTGGGAAGGCCAAATACTCTGTTTTTCCAGAAATGCTGTGCTCACTTACAACTGGTTGTTGTTCATTGCTTTGGACACTAACATTTTGGGACAGATCACTAAGTCCAGGAGGAAATATCGGGTTAAGGTTAAAACCTGTATGTGAGAAAATATAAATTGATTATGAATAACTGAGCTGCGTTGCATCTGAATGAACAGTAGAATTAAGATAGCTGTTAACTGCTAGGCAAGTTCCGAGGTTCAACCCATCATTTAGGTCAGAAACAAAATGACAACTACAATGCAAAGTATTAGACTGTTGAAATGAACTGAATTTCGTTAAAATGCCTTCACCTGATGTAACTGCTATAGTGGTATAATAATTTAAACATAATAAAACCGTATAGTCACAATCAGGTTTCAACAGGTGGCAGAGCAGAAGGTCAAGAAACAACGTGTTCACTCTAATGCTTTGTCACTGAACTGATTGTAAAGTGGACTGTTAAGAACAGAAGATAATGCTAATTATGGAAGACTGTTTGAATAATATAACACTTTTGAATAATGCATAAAATGAAAATATCGGCATTTTTACATTGGACTTGAAGGCCTATATGTCTCAAGCAGTCAACCATCCTTTGAACTATTGCAGAGACGAACACATAAGCCAATGGTAAAATAGGAGAAAGCTAGGAATCATAAAATTAACTTAAATATTGCATTTATTTTTACTTTGCATTGTCTTCTAAGCACAAGGTGAAACAATTTCAAAACTACAGCCTCTAATCATACTATTACACCTTCAGTGTAAAAATGAAAGGTACCAAGCTTGAATCACAGATTCCCCTGCAACACTACACCAAGCAACTAAACTTAAACTGATTAAATGCACTCGGACAGCATACTTGAGACAATTTAGGTGATCAAACTGACGTTGTTTCCTTCTTGGCAGAAAGCAAGTTGTTAACAGCTTGCAAGCTTAGCCTTCTCAAGTTATACGAGCCAAAACACTGGAAATCCTTTTTCTTTCTAGTTTGAGTGCAGTGTTCAACAGTAACAGAACAGAATTTGTAACAACCTCTAAAAATGCAAAGGAAGGCAACTAACAGCTGAAGAAGATAACTACAGCAGGAAAATAATTAAGCTGCTGCACATCAAAACAGATGCAACACTCAAAAGTTTGATTGTTATTCAAAGCAATTAAACTTGACTTTTGTACTGCCTACTTTATTCATCTATTCACACTGAAGCATTCAGGGACGAAACACACAGAGACCCAGTTTCAATTCCACTCTGAACCGTGTGCCTGTGTGGAGTTTACACATTCTCCCTGTGTTTGCATGTGTTTCCTCTGGATGCTCTGGTTTCCTCTCACAGTGCAAAGATGTGCAGGTTAGGTGGATTGGCCATGCTAAATGGTCCCATAGTGTCCAAGGATGTGCAGGCTAGATGGATGAGCCATGGGACATGCAAGGTTACAGGGATAGGGTAGGGCAGTGGGTCTGAGTGAGATGCTGTTCAGAGGGTCGGTGTCGACTTGATCAGCCAAACAGCCTACTTCCACACTGTAGATATTTCATAATTTAAAGAACTTTTTACACTGCAACCTGGGTCGAGAAAAGTGACCTGCAACTGACATTAGCTTACTTGTGGGTTTTGAAACTCCTGCAGTTTCATTAAGTCCTCCCATTTTACACATAGGTGAAGTCTTCAGAAAATGACAACAGAAATCTATTACTGATAATGCTGGATTGCCAGTGAATCTGCTACTACAGCCCTATTTATTAGGTCCCAGTCGCAGTAAAACCTGCAACGTAGGAAATCTTGTTTATTGGCCAAACCTTCTAAAATCATTTAGCTTCCCAAAATCACCACTTGGACTAAGTCATGGGTAAACTGTTGGTGCCGCAACATCTAATAGCTTGAGATTGTATACCGCTTACCCCCACAATCACCGAGCTATAGTTTCATAAAGAAGACTAAAAGATAAATTAACGTTATAATTTCCTTGTAATTGCCTTTTAAAACCCTATTTAAATATCACTAATTTTAGTCCAAAGTCCCCACACAAACTTCTCCAACCCTTCATTTTTCTTTAAAGAACTGCTTGATGTCGCATAATATTACTATCCCAGAATGCTCTCTTCCTATATAGAAATGCTTGGCTTCTCTTTGGGCTAATCTTACCTAAGTTTGAAGTAAATTCTGTGTTTAAAAACAAATCTTACTTCTATGAACAATTCACTCGTAAAACAGTTGTTTACTTTCTCTTAGTTGCATCATAAAACCTGGAATTTAGAGAAAACAAGGACAACTATTTCTACACATAGCTGCACTTACCATGAACAAAAGGAGAACAATTTGGAAATCGAGACATGCTTAATGGATTTAACGATGGGGAAGGAAAGCTAAATGGAGGGAAGACAAAACTATTGGGAGATGGAGGTGGCACGCCACTATCTCTTTGATTTTCTGGCTTCTTGTCTTGATGTTGTTGATGGAGAAGGTCATTCAGCATCTGTTTTAGCCTAACAAAATAGAGCAAAAAGCAGTGTTTACCAATAAAATTTCAAGTGGGTTACATTGAGAAATATGGGGAAATGATTAAAATTTCGGCTATAATTTCATTATTCTTTACATGTTCATTGCCTACGACAAGAAAGTAAAATATCAAATCAAACAAATACAAAAATCCCTCAAGTTCAGGCAGTAATAACTTTTAAATTGATTTTGGCAGAGAGTTCATACTGTTATCTTGATGCTGTTGGTTGGCATAACATGTTAGAAAGACATGCTTTAAATAAATACAGTTTTCTCAATGTCAGCTTTCGTGAAAGCTTGCATATTTCCTGAGGTTTTGCTGTTGATTGTTAAATGGTTTCCCCCAAGAACCAACAACATTAAAAAAAAAGAAACCCAAAAGTCAGAAGCCAAAAATAGGCTCTTGCTCATATACAAAGAAAACAGGTTGCCTTCTAAATTGATAATTGGTAATTAAGTGTAGAAGCGAAGAAGAGTAGGCCGAAGAGTTGTTAACCCAACTTCCTATCCGGTACAACGTGAGTTACATCGGGGTGAATTTTTACCAATAATAGGCTGTGCAGGGAGGTTTATGAAGGATTCCTTTCCACGATCTCCAGGTGAATTATGGCATGCAATTCTCCATTCTCACTTTATTCTATTTGTAACATGCCTCTGGAGTCTCGTGTGCTATTTTGTGTAGCAAATACATGTCGTTGCCAGGATTATCCAAAATTCCCACCAGTGGCGGCACAGTTAAAGCCCAGTTGTGGACCCGCATAAAATGCGACCAATCATGAATAGCCCTTCACAGTACACATTGTGGCATGGAAACAAACAGAAACTTGTGATGGTATGTGTAACAATTTACTGGAAATAACCATATTGTATGCAAGATTCTATAGTTCAGGTTATTTTACATCATCACCTGTCTGATGACTAATGATATCTGCAGTACCAAGAATGAAGCTACACAGACAACCTGCCCTTCACATCATACTATATTAGAAACCTGTGTAAGGCAGTGCTAAACTTTCCATAATGACCAGCACAGTGTACCATCCTGTCATTCTTTAGGACTGAACATGACCCACCTCCGTGACCAATTTGGAAGGACAGCCCCTATTGATTAGTGATCCCTGACTGAATTCTGTTGAACTCCTTGATTGATTTATCACTCATCCCCTGATCGGTTGCATTATGCCTGCAGGAGTGACCACAGCCCACTCCCTGGACTGTAATTATATGCATCCTCAATCTTAAATGCGCTAAATTGCCAACAAACTGTCAAGTTTCTAGACTAATATCCAAGGGATCTATGCGCCGGTACACCCTGACTGACGACAGTCCCACTTGCCTTGACTGAACACTACTCCCCTTAGACATGGTCATTTGGTTAAAGCACATACTGTGCATTTGCCGTGTAAAGCTGTGAGCAGATGCAGAACACACACTATCGCCAATGACAGCATATGTCCTTCAGAGCATTGTGGCACATCTCTGACTCAGTTCTCCCTTTCAATACTGCACTGTGCAGCAAACCTTGCAATCCAATGCTGCTGTCAAGCAGAGACCCATACGATGGATTGCGGCAGGATACATCTTAGTGGGCTCTAAATTTCCTCTCAGAGCTTACTCACTTTGCACCTACTTGGATACACACATCATTTCTGTTCTGCCTGATCTTTCAGCAAAAACAGAAATTGCTGGAGAAACTCAGACCAGGCTGAACTTGAAATATTAACTTTGTCTTCTCTCCACAGGTGTTCTCTGACTTGCTGAGCTTCTTCAGCAATTTCTGTTTTTGTTTCAGATCTGCAGCATTCAGAGTTCTTTGTTTTATTTCCTTGCCTTTTAGTACCTTAATGCCATTTCCAGAACTTTTAAGCTCAGTGTACTTCTCTCTTGCCTTGTTTTTTAACACAGACACAAAGCCAGTAGTTTGTCACAGCAGCTAACAATGATCAATCAAGTTGGTGGGTCACATTCCCTCTATGCTGTGCAAAAATGTAGTTAAAGAACATTTGCAGGATTATAATAATTCATTCCTATATGGTGCAAAATTAAAAAGGGGAAAGGTAGCTCAACCATGTCTGAAAAAATAAATGAAGTTCAATCTTGGATCCAAAGATGAGACATACAAAATTGCCAGAAAAACCAGCAAGCTTGAGGCCTGGGATCAGTTTGGAATTCAGTAAGTCAAAACATTTGATCAAGAGGGCCAAAACAGAGTAAGAGTGTAAAACTGCAGGGATCTGAAAGGGAAATCTCGTTTAACAAATCTACCGGGGTGTTTTAAGGATGTAACAAGGAGAATAGTGATGGGAGAACTTGTGGATGTGGAAATGGAGCTTATGGCCAAGACTGAAAGATATAAGCTTGGCTTTTCCTGTTATTTATTGGGAGGAAATTCTGTTTATTAAGTACTTAGACATGAGGGAGGTGTTAAGAGAAATGGCGGTCTAGCAGAGGTAGGTCTTGTCAGAACACACTGGAAATGTGATGTGCCTTCTGATATTGGTACTGAGAGGTAGCAAAAAGATAAGAAATAAGAGGAATTTGATCCTGCATAGATCCTCGGGGTCATCAGATCTATCAATTCTCTGGTTAAGACTGAATAGTTAATGTTTAAACCAATTGAGTGCAATCCTGCAAAGCTGTCAACCAGCTGGGTTGAACTGCCTTCACATGGTGACTCCATTCTTCCCTTGTCCGCAGAACCACTTGCAATGATTTCCCTTCCTACTCCAGGATCATGAAATCTGCTGTTCCCCTAGAATTTACCCTTAATTGCTTCCTATTTTTAATCAATGTGCTGCTGCTCAGTGACATCATTTAGAAGCACAGCATTAGTTTTCATATCCATGGCGAAGATATCTAGCTCTCTGTCACTAACATATCTCGCCTGCTTCATTCGTGCTAAATCCAACTGCTGACCAACATCCAGGACTGGAAGAGCAGAAAAGAGCAGAAATTAAATACGGTGAAGACTAAAGTCATTATTTTCAGTCCCCATTCCACTCCCTGAAAAGTCAGTGATTGAGCAAATCTGTGCATGAATCCAGTGTGACATTTAACACCAAAAGGTAAGATTCTGGCTTCATATTTGCACTAAGACTACCTATTTCCAGCTTGGTATGTTGCTATACTTCGCGTGTCTCTGCTCATTCATTTCTTCAGACCTTCTAAATTTGACAATTTCAATACTCTTGTCTGGTCTGCCACATTCAACCCTTCAGCAATTGAGGGCATTCACAACTTTGCTGCTTGTTTCATAACTTTCATAAAGTCCTGTTAAACTACTGCCCTTTGCTCAC